AAGGTGGCCAATTGAAACATTCACACCTAGCTCCAACAGACAAGAGTTCTTTCTTCCACCCTGGACATTTCCCAGATATATAAACCCAATATATTCCACAGATATATAAACCCAAGGTGGCTTGATGTCCACATACTACCAAGAACTTGCCACAATTTATTATGATCCACATAGTCAAAGGCTTTAGAATAGTCAATAAAACAGAAATATATGTTTTTTTCTGAAATTCCCTGCCTTCTTCCATTATCCAGCGGATATTGGCAATTTGGTCTCTCGGTCCTCTGCCTTTTCTAAACCCAGCTTGTACATCTGGCAACTCTCCCTCCATGTATTGCTGGAGTCTTCCTTGCAGGATCTTGGTAAGAAAAATAAGTGCTACTGTATGAAAGTTTTGAGCAGTCTTTAGCATTTCCCTTTTTTGGTATGGGTATATAAGTTGATTTTTTTCCAATCTGATGGCCATTCTGTGTTTTCCATATTTGCTGGCATATGGCATGCATCACCTTGACAGCATCCTCTTTCAAGATTTTAAACAGTTCAGCTGGGATCCCTTAGTCTATCCATTCTACATAACCAATCAGAATGAGAGCAGAAAAAGAGAGGAGAGAAGGAATTGGTACATTCCAACTGTCATTCAGGAGACAGGGAGGGATTTCCGTCAGCCTATTCTAAGCTAACTAACTACTCCTCATTGAGGACTGTAGACTTGGGCAATGTGAGGTTGAATTCCAACAACAGGAACAAATCTTGCTAAAGACAACCCAGGGAAAGGGTCACTGTAAATTGGAAACGACTTGGTGACACAACTACTATGAACGTGTGACCTGTTAACATTTTGCAAGACTACAGCTCCCATCTTTGGCTAAGGATGATGGGAGCTATAATCACAGCAGGAGGATTATGTATCTCCTCCATAGCTTCCCATCAAGCGCTTGGGCTAGAAAAGATTTCTGACAGTGACCCCATAATAGGTGACAGCAGGATTGAAGAGAAACAACTGGAAAAGCTGACACGATATGAGGATTTAAAGATCGAACTGCAAAGACTCTGGCACAAGCCAGTCAAGGTGGTCCCAGTGGTGATTGGCACACTGGGTGCAGTGCTTAAAGACCTTGGCCTGCACTTAAACACAATTTTTTTTTTGTCATGTCAGGAGCGACTTGAGAAACTGCAAGTCGCTCCTGTTGTGAGAGAATTGGCCGTCTGCAAGGACGTCTGCAAGGACGTTGCCCGGGGGACGCCTGGATGATTTGATGTTTTTATCATCCTTGTGGGAGGCTTCTCTCATGTCCCCGCATGAAGAGCTGGAGCTGATAGAGGGAGCTCATCCGCCTCTCCCCGGATTCGAACCTGCGACCTGTCGGTCTTCAGTCCTGCCGGCATAGGGGTTTAACCCACTGCACCACCAGGGGCTCACTTAAACAGCGCCACTTAAACACAATGGGCGCTGACAAGATTACCATCTGTAAGCTGCATACGGCCACTTTACTGGGATCTGCATGCATTATTCACCGATACATCACACGGTCCTAGGCACTTAGGAAGTCTCAGTTCTTGTGGGTTTTTTTGGGCTATATGGCCATGTTCTAGAGGCATTTCTCCTGACGTTTCGCCTGCATCTATGGCAAGCTTCCTCAGAGGTGAGGTCTGCTGGAGCTGGGAAGTGTCCGACGTGAGATCCAATACAACAGCCAGCAGAGTGTCTGCCGTGGACTCATCTTGTTGTGTTTCAAATAAATCATCATCATCATTATCTTTATTTATATTCCACTCTATCTCCCCAAAGGGACTCAGGGCAGATTCCAAACATAAAAGCCAAACATTCAGTGCTCAAATACAAAAACAACAATGCACTAATATCATACTTCTGTGCAAATATTTTAAAAGACAAAGAACCATTTATCAAGACATCAACACACATAAACTAATTTGTCGGAATGGTAGCATAAGATCCTTTGTTATGAACCATCTCTAAAATTTAGCAAGTTTCAGCGACCAAACAACACATAGATTAGGTATAGTGCATGTAGGAATTTGAGCGACTTTCAGGTGTTGTAATGCCTAGGATTCCTCACTACAGGCAATACTGTCTGAGGCACGTGGGACTTGTAGTCCTCCAGCATCAGAACAGCGACATGCTTCCCCTTCCAGTATACCATGATCTTAAAACATGTTCTGCTTGCTAAATAGATTCAAAGGGCAGTTAGGCTGAAAATAGGCAGGTAAAGCTTTTTACTCTCCCATAAAGCCAAGTAAGCATTCAGGAATCTAGTGTTGGCCTCCGGCAACAAGAAGCACCTCCTGTCACTTTGAAGATGGGTATGTGTGTATACGTGTGTGTGTAGATATATATATATATATACACAGAGAGAGAGAGAGAGAGAGACATTCACCATAAATATCATATATGTGTATATACATTATATTTGTTATATTATAAATATATTCACACACACACGTATTCTAAGACACACTTTTCCCCCTTATAAACTTCTCAAAAAACGGGGTGCGTCTTAAAAATATATATTCATAACATTTTTCCCCTGTTGGTAATACTGAAATAAAATAAAACTTACAATCGATGGTGTCTTAGAATCAAAGGAATACAGATAGGCACATATGCATATAGGGTGTGCCAAAAGTCACAAAGGGGCTTCATTCAATATTTAATAACTCCTCCACTGTGAGTTTTCCGGGCTGCATGTTCCAGAAGCATTCTCTCCTGACGTTTCGCCCACATCTATGGCAGGAATCCTCAGAGGTTGTGAGGTCTGTTGGAAACTAGGAAAATGGGGTTTATATAGCAGTGGAACTCGTCTGCTTGAGACATGTATGAATGTTGTAATTTGCCACCTTGATTAGCATTTAATGGCCTCGCAGTTTCAAGGCCTAGGGGAGTCCTGCCTGGGGGAGTCCTTTGTTGGGAGGTGTTAGCTGGCCCTGATGGTTTCTTGTCTGGAATTTCTCTGTTTTGGGGTGTTGTTCTTTCTTTACTGGTCTAATTTTAGAGTTTTTTTAAAATACTGGTAGCCAGATTTTGTTCATTTTCATAGTTTACTCCTTTCTGTTGTAATTGTCCACATGCTTCTGGATCTCAATAGCTTCTCTGTGTCTATGAAGTGTCTATGGACAATGTCGGTACTTTGACTTAGAAATGGAGATGAGCACCAACCCCCAGAGACAGACCTGACTAGACTTAATGTCAGGGGGAAACCTTTACCTTTACCATATATATATACACACACACACACACACACACACACACACACACAGATGTTTATAGTGGGGACTGTGCATCTTAAAATAGAGTATAAATTCTCTCTCATATATATATATATATATATATATATATATATATATATTTGCATATAGATATTCAGCCTTTAATTCATTGTGTACAAAGCCTAATACATGACTTTTAAGAGGACTTTAAACATTATTCTAGCATGAACTCTTTGTGGATTCCTGTTCACTCAAACTACATGTACTCAGTATGTGTTTATCTTATACATATATATATGGAGTTATATATATCCAGTTTAGGTATACATGCAAGTCAGGCCCAAAGTCAGAAAAGGGTCCTGGATATAATAGATATATTATGAGGAGGAACAAGCTGAGGATCAATCCTGACAAGAGGTCCTCCTGGTTGATCGTAAACCGGATCGGGGTATAGGGTGGCAACCTGTGCTGGATGGGGTTGCACTCCCCCTGAAGTCACAGGTCTGCAGTCTGGGTGTCCTCCTGGAGTCATCACTTACGCTTGAGGTTCAGGCATCGGTGGTGGCCGGGAGGGCCTTCGCACAATTAAGACTCGTGCGCCCACTGTGACCGTACCTCGTCAAGTCGGATCTGGCCAGGGTGGTCCATGCCTTAGTCACCTCCAGATTGGATTACTGTAATGCACTCTATGTGGGGCTGCCCTTGAAAACGGCCCAGGAATTCCAATTGGTACAACGGGTGGCAGCCAGGTTACTAACTAGTGCTTCTTACAGAGAGCGGTCAACCCTCCTGTTTAAGGAGCTCCACTGGCTGCCGTTCATTTTCTGGTCCCAATTCAAGGTGCAGGTTCTTACCTACAAAGCCCTGAACAGTTTGGGACCTGCCTACCTGCTTGACCACATTTCTGTGTACGAACCCACACGATCTCTTCGATCATCTGGAGGGGCCCTGCTCACGCTCCCATCTCCAAGGTCATGAGGCCGGCATGACTGCATGGAGCGCCGTTACCTTCCCACTGGAGTGGTACCTATTGATCTACTCACATTTGCATGTTTTCAAACTGCTAGGTTGGCAGAAGCTGGAGCTGACAGCGGGAGCTCATGCTGCTCCCCGGATTTGAACCTACGACCTTTCAGTCAACAAGCTCAGCAACTCAGTAATTTAACACACTGCTCTCTGTATATGTGTGTGTGTATCCTTTAGGTGGTACTGAACTTAGTGAAGGTTTTACAAAGAAAACAGTACATGTATGCAAGTATGTACACACACACACATATATATACACATATATATACATATATATATATAAAAACACACACACACATACTTGCATACATACATATGTGTGTGTATTTCCTTTAGGTGGTACTGAACTTAGTGAAGGTTTTACAAAGAAATACAGTATATGTACGCAAGTATGTATACATATACATATATATATACATACTTGCATACATATATATGTATGTGTGTGTATATATATATATACACACACACATACAGATGCATATATATATATATATATATACACACACATATAAACATATCCTGTACAAGGAAAAAAGTGTGTGAGAGAAACTTCTATTATATACAATAATAATCCTTTCCAATATTGTTAAGAAACACAAATAGAAACATATGACCATGAAAACACATACATTAGAAGACACAGATCTAAGATGAAAACACATTAAAACAATCAGTGATTGACATTAACAACCCAGGCCCGACCTGTCCTCATGAATATGCAAATGTGAGCGCACACCTGGCTGACTTACCTGCAGCCCCGCCGGCGCCGCCTTGGCAATGTGGCCTCATTCTGCCGCGCGGCTCCTTTAAGAACTTCCCCCTTCCGCCACGCCCCCTTGAAGGGATTGGCCACGCCCCCAGCCCGTCGCGCGGCGACACGCTGCTGCCTCCCCTTGGAAACGTGTCACTCTGGCCCCCGCCCCCCTTTGCTACGGAAGGCTACGAGGACCAAAAATCTACCAAATCACTACCAGCTGCCTTCGCTTTATTTTTCTATTGGTGGGAAGCCTGAAATAGAGGCTTATGACTAAGCATTCATAAACACAAGAAATAATTGTATTATATTGCATAGTAAAAGTAAAGGTTTCCCCTTGACATTAAGTCCAGTCCTGTCTGACTCTGGGGTATGGTGCTCATCTCCATTTCTAAGCCAAAGAGCCGGCGTTGTCCATAGACATCACCAAGGTCATGTAGCCAGCATTACTACATGGAGCGCCGTCACCTTCCCGCCTGAGCATACCTATTGATCTCATATTTGCATGTTTTCGAACTGCTAGGTTGGCAGAAGCTGAGGCTGACAGCAGGAGCTCACCCCACTCCCCGGATTCAAACCGCCAACCTTTCAGTCCACAAGTTCAGCCACTCAGTGATTTAACCCACTGCACCTTCGAGGACTCTATTATATTGCGTACTCCAATTATATACAAATCGAATGTTGTTTATCTGAAATCCCAAAATATTCCAAAAGTGAAAGGGTGTCACCCCATGTTTTCTAATAGTACACTTTCATTTCCAAAGTAATTTAAAATATGACATTAAATGATCTGCAGGTTATTGAGGCCGAACACGGAACTCCCTGCCTTCAAGTTGATCTGACCTACAGCAGGGAGTTCCTCAGTTCTCCATTGCCCCGCTTGGGCCAACCGCATGAACGTGGGCACAGCAGCAGCTGCAACTATTATTATTATATTATTATTATATTATAACTTTATTTGTACCCCGCTAGCATCTCCCGAAGGACTCGATGCGGCTTACTCAGAAGCCTTCTCGTTTCTTTGCCTTTCCCCCTTCCTAACATTGTAACTAATCCCCACAATAAAAAGTATCAGTTAATTGTAACCTTTTCCCACTCCATAGTGTGTTACTTTGTGTCTCTTTACTGCCTCAAAATTCTCTTTCAATAAACCTTTCTTCTCCCGGGCTGCAGATGGCTGCCGGCACTCCTGGGATGCGATTTTTGTATCCCTGGGAGGCCGAAACTGCGTTCCCTTAAACCGCGGATACGGAAACCCCTCAGGCCCCCATATCCGCGAGTCAATGGATCGTTTAAAAAATGGTGTCATTCTTCTCCTGGGAGAATTCTAAGACTAATGGCTATCTCGGTTTCGCTCTGCTGCCCCTTCCACCCTGGGAATAACCTTTTTTTGCCTCTGAAACCCCAACCTGGAGTCCAACTGTTTTTCCAAAGACGTTGCCTCGCTGCCACCATTTTGTGGATGTCCAAGGAGCCTGCTGATCCTTGGAAACTGTCACGGTCAACCCATGGGATCCCTAAGATGTCGGCGGGCTGCCTTGGTCCTTGGTGTGGAGGGATCTGTAGTTCTCTCCATGGATCTCAATCTTCAGCGTTGGTGGACGGCCATAAGGACTCTGTGGATACTGGGAACCTATAAGTTCCCAGGTGTTTTGGCCTACAACTCCCAGAAATCCCAGCCAGCTGTTAGGATTTCTGGGAGTTGAAGGCCAAAACATCTGGGGAGCCCAGGTTGAGAACCACTGGCCTTAGGATGTTTATTATGGACAGCTGTTTTATAAACCTACACTACCCCCTGGTGGCTATGTTTTGGAACTGCACCAAGATTATTTTACTCTTTGATTGAGGCTGCATCTATACTGTAGAATATATACTGCCCTGGCTTAACGGCCTGAGCTTTGCGAGTGCAGCATTTTTCAAAATGAAGCAGAGAGTGCTTGAGGACCGGGACATCTGTAGGGATGCCAAGATGCTTGTTTATAAAGCTATTGTCCTCCCAGCCCTGCTATACGCCTGCGAGACGGGGACTGTCCACAGACGTCACATGCAACTTCTGGAACAATTCCATGCCTCCGGAAAATCCTGCTAATCTCTTGGGGAGACAAGCGGACAAATATCAGCGTGCTGGAAGAAGCAAAGACCACCAGCATTGAAGTGATGGTCCTCCACCATCAACTCTGCTGGACCGGCCATGTTGTCCGGATGCCCAACCACCATCTCCCAAAGCAGTTGCTCTACTCTGAACTCAAGAATGGAAAACAGAATGTTGGTCGGGACGAAAAGAGATTTAAAGATGGGCTCAGAGCCAACCTTGAAAACTCTGGCATAGACACTGAGAACTGGGAAGCCCTGGCCCTTGAGCGCTCCAGTTGGAGGTCAGCTGTGACCAGCAGTGCTGCAGAATTTGAAGAGGCACGAATGGAGGGCGAAAGAGAGAAACGTGCCAAGAGGAAGGTGCATCAAGCCAACCCCAACCAGGACCACTTTCTATCTGGAAACCAATGCCATCACTGTGGGAGACGATGCAGATCAAGAATAGGGCTCCATAGTCACCTACGGACCCACCCTGGAAGATTATCCTACTCAGACAAGGAGGGATTGCTTAAGTAAGTAAGTAATGCTATGGAATTTTGGGAGATGTAGTTTTATAAGGTTCTGGTGCGTCGCCGAATTGCAACTCCTAGTGGTCTTTCCTGAGAATTGCTGGAAGGTAATTGCCTTTCCTTTTTGGCCTGGATGCCAATCTTAATGAGACATGCCACATTATCACAAGATGTCTATGCCCTACACCACTGGAGAAATAATATTGTTTGGCCAGTACTGTTTTGCACAGCCTGACATCCACCGGGAAGTAGCAGCCAAAAATTAAAGGACCAAGGCCCTGTTTGGATATCAGTCAGCACGCCAACACCTTAAATCAAGATATAGTTTTCTAAGATCTACAGAGATATTCGCAGGAACGCCTCAGCAAGTGAGAGTCCAAAAGTGGCAGGCTAAAACCTGGAACCTCAATCAGTGGCTGATACCGAATGAGAGACTCCCCCCTGGGAAAATAGAAGTCTGGGCAACTTGGAAGGCTCTGAACAGACTGAGCTCTGGCACCATAAGATGCAGAGCCAACCTGAAGAAATGGGGCCACGAAGTGGAGTCCACGACATGTGAGTACAGAGAAGAGCACTCCAAGTGGCCAGCTACTGTTCAAAGAACAATTAGTAGAATGCCAAGTTTTTAAATTTTGTGTTTTTTAAAAAATATATTGCAACTGTAGCCTCGGTTCGCTTCTGATACGATAAATAAGTAAAACTGGCCAAAATAGCAACCAAGTCACACAAATCCCCTTGTGGACTAGAGTCTTGGCTGCTTCGTGTGGTTTTATTGATTAATATGCTTCCATTGCGATTTTTAAAGAAATGAAACCCTTTTAAAAGAAAGGTCAATTTCCCAAAAATTGTCTGTAAGAAATCATCAAAATTCAAAGAGGCTCTTGGTAGCGGGGCAGATGCCAAAAGGCCCTGCTGCAATAATATCCAAATAACTTGTATGAATCCTAGGGCTTTTTGGGGCTTGGCTTCTTTGCAGCCCCAATGGCTGCCCCAGCACTGGCCGTCGCTGCAGTCACCCCAAGTTTGGTGCTCAGTGCGAGTCCCGCTGCCCCTGAAAGAGATCGAGACAAACAGAGAAGCAGTTTAGGATGCTGGGCACCTGAAAACACCGGGTCTAGGGCTCTCAGTAGATCATTGGTGTGATGCAGCAGCTAAAAAAGCCAATACAATCCTAGGCTGCTTCATTAGGAGTCTAGTGTCCAATTGAGGAGAGTCCTAGCCCCACTCCCTTTTGCTTTGGTCAGATCTCCCCTGGAATAATATTATGTCCAGTTCTGGGCAGAGCAATTGAGGAGTTGGATGCTTTCAAGTCACTTACAGCAACCCTAAAATAATCCTATCTATCTCTTGACCAAAGTTAGCCAGTGGATCTCTACCCACTCACCCATCCTTTCCTCCTTTCATCACTGAATCCATCTATTCATCCATCTCTCTTTCCATCTCTCGATCCATCTCCCTCTATCCAGTCATCATCCACCCACCCATCCTTTGATCCATTCATCTCTTGACTGATCCACCCACCCATCTTCCTCTTGATCCCTCCCTCCATTTTCCTATCCTTTTTTCCATCCCCCCCTTGTTCCTCTCGCTCTTGCTTCTATCTTTCCCTCTTTCGCTCTTTCCATCCTTCAATCCCTCCCTCCCTCCATTTAGCCATCCTTTTTTATCCATCCCTTGTTTCATCTCTGTCTCCTTCTCTCTCTTTCCATCTTTCCTCCATCTATCCATCTGCCCATCCCTTTTTATTCATCCCTGGTTCCATCTTTCTCCTTCTCTCTCTCCATCCTTCCATCTCTCCCTTCCTCCATCTACCTATTCAGCCATCCTTTTTATCCATCCCTTGTTCCATGTCTCTCTCTACTTCTCTTTCCATCCTCCCTCCCTCCCTCCCTCCCTCCCTCCCTCCATTTATCTATCCACCCATCCTTTTTATCCATCCCTTGTTCCATCTCTCTCCTCTCTCTCCATCCTTCCATCTCTCCCTCCATCCATCTATCTATCTATTCAGCCATCCTTTTTTATCAATCCCTTGTTCCATCTTTCTCTCTCTTTCCATCCTCCCTCCCTCCATCTATCCATTCACCCATCCTTTTCATCCATCCCTTGTTCCATCTCTTTCCTTCTCTCTCTTTCCATCCATCCATCCTTCCTCCCTCCATCTATCCATCCKCCCATTCTTTTTTATCCATCCCTTGTTCCATCTTTCTCTCCTCTCTCTCCATACTTCTATCTCTCTCCATCTATCCATTCACCCATCCTTTTTATCCATCCCTTGTTCCATCTCTCTCCTTCTCTCTCTCTTCATCCTTCCATCTCTCCCTCCATCTATTCAGCCATTCTTTTTAACCATCCCTTGTTCCATCTCTCCTTCTCTCTTTCCATCCTTCCTCCCKCCCTCCCTCCATCTATGCACCCACCCATCCTTGTTCCATCTCTCTCCTTCTCTCTCTCTCCATCCTTCTCTCTCTCCCTCCCTCCATCTATCCATTCAGCCATCCTTTTTTATCCATCTGTTGTTTCATCTCTTTCTCATCTCTTTCTCCATCCACCCATTCTTCCCCCTCCCTCTATTTATCATCTATTATAGATCCATCCACCTATCAATTTTTCCATTCTGAAACTCAAGACGGCTATCTTCCTGTTGTTGTTTGCCCTTCAAGTTGTTTCCAAGCTGTCAAGGCCTTGTCTGCCTTCATGCTGACCCGAAGGAAATCCTACGTTTCTCTGGGGCTGAGAGTATGCGACTCCAATTGGGTCTCCATCCCTCCCTTTCCCCCCAACCTGGGACTCAAGATGCTTTTCTTCTTGTTGTCGTGTTTCCATGTTCTGGTGACCCTGTGGCAAGCTTCTCATAGGGTTGGCAAGATTTTGTGCTTGCCTCCAAGGCTGGGAGAGCGTGAGACGTTTAAGATCTCCTTGGAGATTTCCACGGCTGGATTCAAACCTTATTTCCCTAGTTATGGTTGAAACACTCCAACCACGACACCAGGAATGGGCAAAGCGGCTGAGGGGGAAAAGGAAGGGACCTGAGGCTGTTAGGAATGGTGGGAGTTGAAGTCCAAAACACCTGGAGGGCACAAGTTTGCCCGTGCCTGCACTACACTATGGTTTCTGGATTTTGGGCACTCGGATTTCTAGTTCAGCCTTGGTTTGGCGCAACTATCAAAGACTTACCAATGGACTGAAGGACGGCCACTGAGCTGCCGGCTGCAACCCCACCGCCGCTGGCGATCGCTGAGGCTGACATCATCTTGGCTGCAATGGAGCCGGCTGCAATTCCTGCGCTGGTGAAGCCCGCAGCTCCGAGCACCAAAGGGAGCCCCACGACGGTGAGTCCTGGAGGGCAAGAACCAAATGAGTACAGGTTGTCTCCCAGTTACAGACATCCGACTTCTAAATGACTCACGGTTAAGAACAGGAGTGAGACAACTGTCCAATTTTACACCAGAAACAGCCTTAAACACAAGTGAAAATAAATAAAAAAGGCTTAACTTCAACCAAAATAAAGATAATGCAATAAGTGAAACAGAAAGGACAGTCCCGGTGGTAATGCAAGGGTCTGGAGAACAAGCCCTATGAGGAGCGGCTTAAAGAGTTGGGCATGTTTAGCCTGCAGAAGAGAAGGCTGAGAGAAGACATGATAGGTAAAGGTTTTTCCCTGACATTAAGTCCAGTCGTGTCCGACTCTGGGGTGTGGTGCTTATCTCTATTTCTAAGCTGAAGAGCCGGCGTTGTCCGTAGATATGTCCAAGGTCATGTGGCTGGCATGACGGCATGGAGCGCCATTACCTTCCAGCTGAAGCAGTTCCTATTGATCTCACATTTGCATATTTTCAAACTGCTAGGTTGGCAGAAGCAGGGGATAACAATGGGAGCCCATCCCATCTGCGAATCTGAACCGCCAACCTTCTGATCAATGTATGTCCTTCACTCAAAATATTGATTTTAACATTTGGGAGTTGTAGTTGCTGGGGTTTATAGTTCACCTACAATCAAAGAGCATTCTGAACCCCACCAACAATAGAATTGAACCAAACTTGGCGCACAGTTCTCCCAGGACCAACAGAAAATACTGGAAGGGTTTGGTGGGCAGTGTCCTTTGGTTTTGGAGTTTTGGAGTTTTGGAGTCACCTACATCCCAAGATCACTGTGGACTCAAGCAATGATGGATCTGGACCAAACTCTACATGAATACTCAATATGTCCAAATGTGAACACTGGTAAAGTTTGGGAAAAATAGAATCTGACATTCGGGAGTTGTAGTTGCTGGGATTTATAGTTTACCTACAATCACAGAGCATTCTGAATCCCACCAACGATAGAATTGGGCCAAACCTCCCACACAGAACCCCCAGGTGGGCCACAGCAACGCATGGCAGAGGACGGCTAGTATCTATATAAATAAAAATGTAACTTTCATTTGTGGGATTAACATAACTCAAAAACCACTGGACTAATTGACCCCAAATTTGGATACACTACACATATCAAGCCAATGAGTGACCATCACTCCTAAAAACACTGAAAAACACAGCAGAAGAGACTTTAAAAGCCAAAAAAACAAAAATTATATTGCAACGCATGCACAAAACCACATATATACACAAATCATATCTGCACACACAAAACACATATACAAAGACTGGGCCACAGCAACGTGTGTGTGTGTGTGTGTGTATTACACAAAATATTTGGAAGTACACTTCATAGACTCTTATAAGTTGGTTGGTACTCCAAGGGCCATTAAATCCAACCCTTTTCAGCCATACAGCTGAAACACAATCCAAGCCCTCCTGACAGATGGCCATCCAGAGGAGAAGACTCCACCGGACCCCAAGGCAGCAAGCAGCATATTCCACTGTTGAATCGCTCTTATGAATGAATGATTGCATTATAAGATTTGGAAGGGACCTCTAAAGGCCATCTAGTCCAACCCCCATTCTGTCATGTAGGACGGCACCATCAAAGCCCTCCTGTCAGATGGCCATCCCACCTCTAATTGCTCTTACCATTAGGAAGTTCTCAATTTGCAGAAAACTAAACAGTCTCGAGTTTTCTAGGCGTGTTGTGGGGGATGTTTTCATATATTTGGAAGTTGTTTTGCGTGGTTTTCTCCCCAAATTGCACATTTCTAAAAAATAAAAAATGGGGTCTTTGGGGAACAGTATAAGCGCTTACCGATTCCTAGTCCAGCTCCGATCATGGCTCCTTTTCCTGAGTTGGTTAGTCTTTTAAAGGCCCCTGAAAAGAGGAATATATTCATTTTCTAAAATCTACCCAATGCCTTGGCAAAATAATAATAATAACAACAACAACAACAACAACAACAATAATAATAATCACAACAACAATAATGATGATGATGATTATTATTATTATTTCTTAACTCTCCCTGAAGGTGAGCCAAAATATAGTTAAAATACACAGATAAAGAAATCAAGGCTTCAAAACATCTAAACACATACTAAAAGTGAAAATATGTACGTGTGTATGTGGCTTGAGTGTCCACTTACACAGACAAGCTCTTGCCTCCACAAATAGCTATAGCTTCCACTACTCAGGGGACACCAATGGCCCTCCCTCCAGTGACATTGCAGGCTATAGTGAGTGCCACAGACATGTACAAGAGCCCTGCCAGTGTCCTCTACATATGCCATCATGCCCACGATCCAAGTGAAGGCTTTCATACGGGGACAATTTCATCCTAGATTTTATGTTTTTCCTCCACCACAGACATCCCAGCGTTTCTGACTCTCTCCATTGGTGTGGAATTTACATGACCCCACCCACTGCCTCTCCCTTAACCCTTTCATATTCTTTTCTATGACACACAGCCAACAGACGAATTGATTGGCAACTGAACATACTAGAGAGGTTTGGGGAGAATTCACAATGATTTATAGGAGTTGTAGGTCCTGGGATGTATAGATCACCTGCAATCTAAGAGCACTCTGAACTCCACCAATGATGGACCTGGAACTAACTTGGCACACAGAACTCCCATGACCAAGAAAAAATACTGGAGGTCTTTGGAGGGATTTATAGGAGTTGTAGTTCACCTACACCCAGAGCCCACTATGAATCCAAACAATGATGGATCTGGATCAAACTTGGCATGCTTACCCGATATGCCCAAATTTGAATATTAGTAGGTTTTGTGGGGAACTGGCCTGGACATTTTGGAGTTGTAAGTACTGGGATTTATAGTTCACTTGCAATCAATGAGCACTCTGAACTCCATCAAAGATGGAATTGGACCAAACTTGGCACACAGAGTCCCCATGACCAGCAAAAAGTAATGGTGGTCTTGGGGAAAAATTCACCTTGATTTGGGGGAGTTGTAGTTCACCTACATCCAGAGAACACTGTGAACCCAAACACTGATGGATCTGGACCAAACTAGGCACATTTATTTATTTATTTAAAAGTTTTCTATACCGATCTTCTCACCTCCAGGAGGGACTCAGATCCGGTTCACAACATGTGTTCATATACAAAATACAAACCACACAATGCATTATCATTACACGTTAAAACATATTACAATACAACATCATCATCATCACAATTACACAGCCAAGTCATCAAAAACATTAATGGTCATAATTCACAGTTAATCATTCTCCTTCCATGTGGACCAGAGTTGACTCAGGTGTCAAAGGCCGCATTCCATAGCCAAGTCTTTGTTAATTTCCTGAACGTCAGGAGGGAGGGAGCCGTTCTAATCTCCTGTGAGAGGGAGTTCCAAAGCCGGGGAGCCACCATCGAGAAGGCCCTGTCTCTCGTCCCCACCAACCACGATTGTGACAGTGGTGGGATCGAGAGCAGCCCCCCCCCCCCAGAAGATCTTAAAGACCTTGATGGTTCATAGGGGAGAATCCGTTCGGACAGGTAAATGGACACATATAACCAATGTGCCGAAATTTGATTGCTGGAGGGATTTTGGGGGAACTGACCTTCCTTTCTGGGAGTTGTAGTTCACCCACAACCAGAAAAACTGTGATTTCCACCGACGATGGACCTGGACCAAACCTGGCACAAGAACCCCCATGACTAACTCAACCTACTAAAGGGGTTTGAGGGGACTGAGTCACCATAGTGGGAATTGTAGTTTACCCTAGAGCCAGAGAGCACACCCAACCCCACCAATGATACATCTAGAGCAAACCTGCCCAACATAACAAACTTTAACTATGGATAGAGTTTCAGGGGGCGTGCCTGGTATGATGTGAGTTGTAGCTCACCCACAACCTTATGCATTTCATACAATTATAATAACTTTTTCAAATAATCCAGGCAATGCCGGGTACCCAAGCTAGTATATAATATTTCAAATAATCCAGGCAATGCCGGGTACCCAAGCTAGTATATAATATTTCAAATGACCCAGGCAATGCCAGGTACCCAAGCTAGTATATAATAAAAACATTAAAACACATTATTTGATGCACATAATTTGTTTTAAAAGGATGTATATATAAAAGGACTTTCAGGTTATGGCTATAAGGTCTCTCTCTATGTGACATCAATGAGCTTTGTGTTCATATTTGGGTCCCATGTCAAAGGCATCTATCTCATATAATGTAGCTCTGTGCCAGTGGTTCCCAACTTTTTTTTGACCAGAGACCACTTTGACCAGAGACCACTTTGACCAGAGACCACTTTGTCCAGAGACCACTTTGACCAGAGACCACTTTGACCAGAGACCACTTTGACCAGAGAACACTTTGACCAGGGACCACTCTTCAACATAAGTACTAAAAGGGTTACGAATCAGTTTTTGGTCAACTTTAGATTCGGTTTGGGGTGCTGATTCAGAAAATTGCCTTGGATAGACCACATCAGCTCTAGTTTCTGATACAGAACATATACCATGGTCAGTGACAGGGAAGGAGTGGCAGGCACCCCGAAAGGAGCCGAAACAAAACAAAACAAATAGGAAGGAGGCTCGCGAATCAGATTTTCGTCCTCGCAGGCCACTGGTGGGCTGCGGCCCACAGGTTAAGAACCACTCCTCCATGCCAATATATATTATCTATTCCCAAATTTGAAGCAAAGTCTCAAGCATTTTGGAGAAGGGAGACCCAACTCAGAAGAAGTCCCAAAGAACTTGGGTTTCCTACCTTTAAAGCCTCCCCCCCCCCTTTTTTTTTCTGCTGGGATTGTCTTACCAGGGTTCTCCTTGGCCTTTGGGGGCATCTCTGCCTCTTTCTTCGGGGATCCTGCCACCTGTGCAGCTGTCTTTTTGCAAACGGGCCCTTTAAGAAAGGAGGAGGAGGAAATTTAAAGAGAAATGACTTTTCCACTGAGTCACAGGCTAAAGATAAAGAGCTGGCAGAAAGGAATGGGCGGATGGGAACCCAAGCACTTTTATTTCCTTTTTGTAAAGTCTTAAGAGTTGGAAGGGACCCCCAAAGGTCATCCAGTCCAATCCGATTCTGCCAGGCAGGAAGACACAATCAAAGCCCTCCTAACAGATTGTCATCCACCTCTGTCTAAATAAAATTCCAGAGGAGCAGACACCATCTTCCTCATTATTATCAAAGGTTATTATTATTATTATTGTTGTTGTTATTATTATTATAGAATCTTAGCATTGGAAGAGGGTCCCAAATGCCACCCAGTCCAACCCTATTCTGCCAGGCCGGATCTATCTAGTTTTATCTGTCTGTCTGTCTGTCTGTTGTATCTATCTATCTATCTGGTGTTCTAAACTGTCAATCTCGCTCTCTCTCTCTCTTTATCTCTATCTGGTGTTCTAAACTATCTATCTATCGATCTATCTATCTGTCTGTCTATCTATCTATCTATCTATCATCTATCTATCTATCTGTCTATTGTATCTATCTATCTATCTATCTATCTATCTATCTATCTATCTATCATCTATCTATCTATCTGGTGTTCTAAACTATTAATCTATTTCTTTCTATCTATCTATTTTGTGGTCTAAACTGTCTATCTATCTATCTATCTATCTGGTGTTCTAAACTGTTAATCTCTATTTCTTTCTATCTATCTATTTTGTGTTCTAAACTGTCAATCTATCTATCTATCTGGTGTTCTAAACTGTCAATCTCTCTCTCTCTCTCTCTCTCGTGTTCTAAACTATCTATCTATCTGTCTGTCTACTTGTATCTGTCTCTATCTATCTATCTATCTATCTATCTATCTATCTATCTATCTATCTATTTATCTGGTGTTCTGGAACGATTCCATCAGCGCTGCCTCCGGAAAATCCTGCAAATCTCTTGGGAAGACAAGTGGACAAACGTCAGCGTGCTGGAAGAAGCAAAGACCACCAGCATTGAAGCGATGGTCCTCCGCCACCAACTCCGCTGGACCGGCCATGTTGTCCGGATGCCCGACCACCATCTCCCAAAGCAGCTGCTCTACTCCGAACTCAGGAACAGAAAACGGGATGTTGGAGGACAGGAAAAGAGATTTAAAGATGGGCTCAAAGCCAACCTTAAAAACTCTGGCATAGACACTGAGAACTGGGAAGCCCTGGCCCTTGACCGCTCCAGCTGGAGGTCAGCTGTGACCAGCAGTGCTGCAGAATTTGAGGAGGCACGAGTGGAGGGTGAAAAAGAGAAACGTGCCAAGAGGAAGGCGCGTCAAGCCAACCCCGGCCGAGACCGCCTTCCACCTGGAAACCAATGCCCTCACTGCGGAAGAAGATGCAGAGCAAGAATAGGGCTCCACAGCCACATATGGACCCACAAGAATATTGGAAGACAATCATCCTCGGAAAGCGAGGGATCGCCTAAGTAAGTAAGTAAGTAAGTTCTAAACTAACTGTCTGTCTATCTATCTATCTATCTATCTATCTATCTATCTGGTGTTCTAAACTGTCTCTCCGTCCGTCCGTCCGTCCATCTATCTATCTATTGTTCTAAACAGGTATCTGTCTCTATCTATCTATCTATCTATCTATCTATCTATCTATCTATCTATCTGGTATTCTAAACTGTCAATCAGTCTATCAATCTCTCTATCTATCATTTATGTTTGTCTGGTATTCCAGACATATCTGTTTATCCATCTGTGTCCTAAACTATCTATCTATCTATCTATCTATCTATCTATCTATCTATCTATCTATCTATCTATCTATCTATCTATCATCTTGATCTCTATCTTGTGTTCTAAACAGTTAGCCTATCTATCTATCTATCTATCTATCTATCTATCTATCTATCTATCTATCTATCTTGTATGTATATATGTACCTACCTATCTACCTAGTGTTCTAAATTGTATCTACTATCTTTCTATCTGGTGTTCTAAACTGTTATCCATCCTTTCTATCTGATGTTCTGAACTGTCGATTTATCTATCTATCTATCTATCTATCTATCTATCTATCTATCTATCTATCTATCTATCTGGTGCTCTAAATGGTCTATCTATCTGATGTTATAACAGACAGACAGACACAGACAGAGAGTCTGTCTGTCTGTTAATCAGTCAATCAATCAATCAATCAATCAAACTGTGTAATGTTATTTATTTATTATGTCATCACCAGTTTCACCATTTTTATTAGATATGTTTGTGGTGTGGTGATTATGCTTATTTTTATGCTCTGTAATGTTTTTTTGTTACATATTTGTTCGCCGCTTTCAGTCCCAATTGGGAGAAAAGTGGGATAGAAATTAAATAAATAAACCTGATGTTCTAAACAGTGTCTGTCTGTCTGTCTGTCTGTCTATCTATCTTATCTATCTATCTATATATATATATCAACCTGGTGTTCTAAACTGTCAATCTTTCTGTTTATATAGGGTTCTGATCTGTCAGCCTACACACGCGCACGCACACACACGCAAATGGACATTTTAGAACACCATTCTTGCAGAACCTGAAACTAATGATTAGCTCCATTTCCTAATTGTCAACCCCATTTTGCTTGTTCCTTAGTGTTATTTTGAAAACCTGACAACCCCGAGTCATATGTGGGAGGCCAAAAAAAGAACTGAGTTTTGCTTTACCAAACGTTGCAGTGGATTAACAAAACCTGAACAAAGCAAGGGACACAAGTGCTCACAACAATGAAACACAGAAGACAACCTGATACTGATGAATGTACCTACAAAAGGAGCCTCCTGAAAGCAGAGCAAGGACACATAAAATGGGAAGGGATTTACAATCCAAATTACGTACCTTTGCCAAAAGGAGGCATAATGGCCGCTTATTTTTTCTTCGCGATCCCAAGCCATAATCCCACAGTCTCAAGACTGAACCTACAAATCTTTCACCAAGACTTGACTGCGAATAGTATGAAAAGACAGGCACACTCGGTGAACTTCTGGGCTGGGGAGCTAGTTAAGATGACAGGTGCCATTTTTGTTAAATTTATTGGCTTAGGTGTCTGGCGATGCCAAGGTTAGGTCTTTTGCAATGATAAATGTTAGAAAAATAGTCATTGTTTGGTTTGGGATTTTGAATCTCTCTGGTTTCACTGCTCTTTCTGGATGTGGGTGGACTGCAACTCCTATCATCTGTTATTGCCCCCTCCAAACTCTGCCAGTAAGTTGGTCATTGCTGGCTATGTTTGCCAAGTGTGGTCCAGATCTACTGTCAGTGGGGCTCACAGTGCTCTCTGGATGCAAGGTGAACTATAACTTCCGTCATCCTGGGTACATATTCCCCAAACCCTGCCAGTATTTTAAGTTGCTCAAGGGGGGCTATATATGCCAAGTTTGGTACAGATCCATCGTCAGTGGGGCTCACAGTGCTCTCTGGATGCAAGTGAACTATAACTCCCATCATCCTGGGTCCATATTCCCCAAAACCTGCCAGTATTTTAAGCTGGTCATGGGGACTATGCGTGCCAAGTTTGGTCCAGATCCATCTTAGTTAGTTGGGAGCCCCCCCCCCCCCATCAGAGTGAAGAGAGGGGCCAGGAAGGCAGTTCCATCTTGCCTCCAGTGTCATTGGTTGGGAGCCCCCCCTCCTTCCAGCACCAACCGCTGCTCTAAGATCAGAGTGAAGAGAGGGGCCAGGAAGGCAGTTCCATCTTGCCTCCAGTGTCATCAGTTGGGAGCCCCCCCTRCCCTCCAMCACCAACCYCTGCTCTGAGATCAGAGTGWAGAGAGGGGCCAGGAAGGCAGTTCCACTTTGCCTCCAGTGTCATCAGTTGGGAGCTCCCCCACCCCTCCAGCACCAACRGCTGCTCTGAGATTAGAGTGAGGAGAGGGGACAGGAAGGCAGTTCCATCTTGCCTCCAGTGTCATCAGTTGGGAGCCCCCCCCCCACCTCCTTCAAGCTCCAACCGCTGCTCTGAGATCAGAGTGAAGAGAGGGGCCAGGAAGGCAGTTCCATCTTGCCTCCAGTGTCACCAATTGGGAGCCCCCCACCCCTCCAGCACCAACCYCTGCTCTGAGATCAGAGTGAAYAGAGGGGCCAGGAAGGCAGTRCCAWCTTGCCTCCAGTGTCATCAGTTGGGAGCCCCCCCCCCCCATCCAGCACCAACCGCTGCTCTAAGATCAGAGTGAAGAGAGGGGCAGGAAGGCAGTTCCATCTTGTCTCCTGCACTGTGATTATGATATAATATAATATAATATATTGTATATGCATATAATATTGATAATATTATAATGTAATACCATATCCTACTACTACTACTAAAATATTATAATTATATATTTATATTAAATGTAATATTACTCATAATATTACAGTATAATGTTATAGTACAATGTAATATACAATATTAATATTAAGCTATGATAATAATAATATATTGTATTTACTTTTTACTTGTAAGCTGCTCTGAGTCCCCTTCGGGGTGAGAAGGGCAGCATATAAATGCCGTAAATAAATAAATAAATAAATAAATAAATAAATAAATAAATAAATAAATAAATAGTGGGATTCACAGAGCTATCTGGATGTGGGTGAACTACAACTCTCATTATCCCAGGTCAACTCCCCCTCCAATCTAACCAGTCTTTTAAGTTGGTCATGGTGGATATTTACGCCAAATGTGGTCCTGATACATCGCCGGTGGGACTCACAGGGTTCTCCAGATGAGAGAGCCATCTTGGAAAACACATACAAACAGAGATACATACAAACATATTTTTCACTTTTATTATAGAAGACAGATATATAGATATGGGTATCCCACACTTTTCTCCCTGTGTGGAATCCCAGGCAGAATGAGGAAAGGCTGTCTTAAGAGCAGGTCACTTTAGGAGGCCATGGACTTGGATTAGACTCAAGATTAGCCCTTTGAATCTCACCCCAAAAAGAGGCAGATGAGAAGGTGCGCAATGGTCCAAATTGGGGTTACAGGGGAGAATCTAGTTCTGCTCTCGCACTATTCCTTCCCCCAAACAAAGCCCATTATGCTCAGGAGCAAAGCTGCCACCACCAGGAGAGAAAGAGTCCTCTTCCAAGAGGCCCAGTGTCTCTTTTCACAGTGAGAGTGGGTTTCCCCGTCTTCCTTTCACCTCGAAGTGCAGACACCAAATGAGTGCTTTAAATAAAGTCAGGTGGGAACGGAGCACAAACCAGGTCGCTTCCAGAGTGCCTTGGTTCTGCTTCCGCAAAGTCCTATGAAGGCACGGAGCCGCATCAGAGTTTGCAAGAGGCTTGGGCCACTTTGGAGTTTGTCCTCCGGTTCAGGGCTTTGCAGATAAAGGCGCCGGCTTCAAGGAGCTTGGAGAGATCCACGCCCTTCACAAGGAAGAAAGGAAGAGGGCAAAGTGAGGACATGGCTGCTTGTTTTGCAATTTAATTTTAATGCCAACTTCAGGGTAAATTAAGCCCGTTTTGCTTATCCCGTGTCTGAACTTGGAAATTGTATTTTTGGATTATATTGGGTTGTTGTCGGTTTTTTCGAGCTATAGGGCCATGTTCTAGAGGCATTCTCTCCTGACGTTCCGCCTGCATCTATGGCAAGCAATCTTAAAGGTAGTGAGGTCTGAGGATGCTTGGCAATACATGCAGGTGAAACATCAGGAGAGAATGCCTCTAGAACATGGCCATATAGCCCAAAAAAAACCTACAACAACCCAGTGATTCCAGCCATGAAATCCTTTGACAATACTTTGGATTATATTTCCTGTAGTAGTAATAGTAGTAAGTAGTAGTAGTAAACTTTATTACAGTCGATGATCAGATCGTAACAGCGGGACCCAGTCCTGCACATCCACGTCAAACCCAAGGGGTTATATGCTTCAAACATCAATAAATTTTAAAATCTAGGCTAAAAACCACATACAAGTAGTTACTAAAACCCAACACTATAAATATCCACTATAGGATATTTATAGGGTTTGTGTCTGTGAGCAGCAGGGCTATGTAGAATTGTCCAGAGCATCCTGCTCCTGGTACTACTACTAGTATTATTATCAGTTTTACTACTGATGTGACTACTCCTGATGCTACTACTACTACTACTACTACTACTACTACTACTAAATGGTATTACTACTGATGCTAGTACTACTGGTGCTCTTGCTCCTGGTGCTACTATTACTTGTATTAATACTGATGCTACTACTACTGGTGCTCCTGATGCTGCTACTACTGCTACTACTAAGTGGTATTACTACTAAGTGGTATTATTACTGATGCAACTACTCCTGGTGCTACTACTCCTGCTGCTCCTACTAGTAGTTTTACTACTGATGCTACTAGTACTGGTGCTCCTGCTCGTGATGCTACTACTACTACCACTAGTGCTACTGCTCAGTGGTATTACTACTGATGCTACTACTAGTAGTGCTCTTGCTCCTGGTGCTACTACTACTGCTACTACTATTACTAGTATTAATACTGATGCTACTGCTACTGGTGCTCCTGCTTGTGGTGCTACTACTACTGGCACTAGTGCTTCTACTAAGTGGTATTACTACTGATGCTACTACTACTGGTGCTACTACTACTGGTGCTCCTGGTGCTACTACTACTAGTATTACTACGGATGCTACTAGTACCGGTGCTCCTGCTCCTGGTGCTACTACTACTGCTACTACTAAGTGGTATTACTACTAGTGCTATTCTTACTTCTCGTTCTTCTGATATGCATTTATAACCCACTTCTCTCCCAAAGCAACCTAGAGAGAGCCCTTCTCTAAGCATTTGCAAGGTTTCCCCAGAATTTCCCTCATAGCTCTTTACTAATCGACAGTACCACATTCAATAAACTCACATAATACATGAATCTGCTGCCTCAGCAACCTAAGGGAGCCCGCTACTTACTGTGTGAATGCCGAGGCCGTGTAGCATGTAGACCATGTCTTCCGTGGCCACGTTCCCCGAGGCGCCCTGGGCGTAAGGGCAGCCCCCCAGGCCCGCAACGGAGGAATCGACCACAGTGACACCCATCTGGGGATGGAAGCAAACCTAGCTCAGAAACGCATACCATGCTATTCCCCAGTCCAACCCTTTGCAACCTTGTTTATCCAAGAAATAATGTTCAGGTCTCAGCGAACCCCTGCATCAAAATTAACAGGGTGCATCATTGAGCTCTGCGGTGGTTTGGTTACATGACCACCCATGAAAAAATCCAAAAAGTAAGCTTTAATTTTATCACATATTAAGATACATAAGCACACAGAAAGCATGCCAACTCTGAAGTCCCAGAAACATACCTGAAGGGCTACCAGCGTGTTGGCAAGCGCCTGCCCGTATGTATCATGGCAGTGGACAGCAAGGGCACCGATGGGCACCTCTTTCATGACAGCAGAGAGCATCTCCCTCATGTTGCCAGGAGTCCCAACGCCAATGGTATCCCCAAGAGAAATCTCATAGCATCCCATTGCGTACATTTTCTTTGACACCTGCCGTGGAGAACAGAAGAGTTAGATAAAAGAGACAATTCATCTTCAGAATAGAAACATGCCAAAAATACATATAAGGCCGTGATTTTTGATGTCCATTTGATGTTTTCGGAAACCCTGAAAATGCTTTTGGCTCATAGCGATTCAGAGTGACATTCAGCACGTATTAGACATTGCAAAATAATTTCCCGATTATAAACAGGAGCTCACCTCGGCCACCTTAGCGGGAGCAATCTTCCCTTCATAAGGACAGCCAAGGACACAGGAGACGTATCTGCAAATAAAAGGAACAAATTTTACTACATATCCATTTTTCTTTCAAACCTACTGGCTTTCTCCTATCTAGGTTCAGTGTTAATTTGCCTGCTTGTCACCAAATTAAGACATCTTTCTTAGGCAGAGTTTCTCAAACTGGGGGTCGGGACCGCAGGGGAGTAGCGAGGGAGGTTTCAGAGGGGTCACCAAAGAACATCAGGAAGCACCTATTTCTGATGGTCTTAGGAACCCCTTTGGCAGAGAAGGTTGAAGATCTCTCAGCCTATCCTTCCCTTCCTTTTTGGAAACAGACGGGGAATCCTCCCCACCAAAAGCCCACATCCTGTTCTCTGGATGTACGTGAACTAACACTCCAAAACTCAAGGTCAATGCTCACCAAACCCTTCCAGTATTTTCTGTTAGTCATGTGGGTTCTGTGTGGGAAGTTTGGCCCAATTCTATTATTGGTGGATTTCAGAATGCTCTTTGATTGTAGGTGAACTATAAATCCCAGCAACTGCAACTTCCAAATGTCAAGGTCTATTGTCCCCAAACTCCACCAGTGTTCACATTGGCATATTGAGTATTTTGTGCCAAGTTTGTTCCAAATCCATCATTGTTTGAGTCCACAGTGCTCTCTAGATGTAGGTGAACTACAACTCCAAAACACAAGGTCAATGCCCACTAAGCCCTTCCAGTATTTTCTGTTGATCATGGGAGTTCTGTGTGCCAAGTTTGGTTCAATTCCATCATTTGTGTAGTTCAGAATGCTCTTTGATTGTAGGTGAACTATAAATCCCACCAACTACAACTCCCAAATGACAAAATCAATCCCCCCAACCCCACCAGTCTTCAATTTAGTGTGTATTGGTTATTTGTGCCAAATTTGGCCCAGTGAATGAATTTTGCTACTGCATAACAGTAGCAAAATTACAGTTATGAAGTAGCAACAAAAATAATGTTATAGTCAGAGAAGTCAGCCATAGCAGAGCACCTGATGAACCAAACTGGGCACATCATATTATTTGAGAACACAGAAATGCTGGACCACTCTCACAACCACCATGTCAGACTACACAGAGAAGCCATTGAAATCCACAAGCATGTGGACAATTTCAACAGAAAGGAAGAAACCATGAAAATGAACAAAATCTGGCTACCAGTATTAAAAAACTCAAAAATTACAACAGCAAAACAACAGAGAGGAAACAATCAGGTACATCAAATCACCTCTCAACAAAAGATTCCCCCCAGGCACTTCCAAGCCATTAAATGCTAATCAAGGTGGTCAGTTGAAACATTCACACCTAGCTCCAGCAGACAAAAGTCCTTTGTCCCACCCTGGTCATTCCACAGATATATAAACCCATTTTCCTACTTCCAACAGACCTCACTATCTCTGAGGATGCTTGCCATAGATGCAGGCGAAACGTCAGGAGAAAATGCCTCTAGAACCGTGATGGTGAACCTATGACACACGTGTCAGCACTGACACGCATGGCTAATTTTGATGACACGCGGACACATGCGGCCGCACACAGAGAAGTACACCTTATAAGAGCCAATCTAATTCCATCCTTAAATTTGTAAAAGGCTCTGCAAATTTAACACCTGCACATTTGAGCATTGTTCACTCCATAACCCAGCATGGATTACACATTTTTCTTATTTAAACTATAAATATTGCAAAATTATGCGTTTTTTCTCGAAGTGACACTCTACCCAAGTTATGCTCAGGTTTTTGGCAAACTTTGACACACCAAACTCAAAAGGTTGCCCATCACTGCTCTAGAACATGGCCATATAGCCCGGAAAAACCTACAACAACCCAATAATGTTATAGTTGGGGGTCACCACAACACGAGGAATTATATTAAGGGGTCATGGCATTAGTAAGGTTAAGAAACACTGTTCTAAGGCTTACCCTCGAACGGGGATGTTGGCTTCTTTTGCTGCCCGCAAGACATCGCTAAACCTCTCCAAACTTTCGTCTATGGAGCAGTTGATGTTCTTCTTCGTGAAAAGTTCTGATGCGGCGCCAAAGATGGATACCTCCTTAGCTCCAGCCGCTACCTGCCAATTAAGGAAAGGCATTTATTTTGAGAGGGACTATGGAGGAAAACACCAGTAGAGAGCAGGAGAAGCTTATCCTTCTATACCAGAGGTGGCCAAAGTGTGACAAAATACGCCCAAGTGGCATGAGTGGTAAAATACCCCAGAAAGTGGTAAGATGCCCACGAAAAAACCTTCCTTGGGCCTAAAAAGGTCCCAAAACATGGAGGAAAATGATCCCATGACCCCAGATAGCATTTGGGGACACCCTATTTTTTTGGTAGAGGTGGAACAATGTTTTCCAAAGCAGCCCACCCCCATCTCAACCAAGCAGTAGCCCTATGGACGAGAAAACCCCAGAAATATGACATAAAAGCCGTGACATACTGGAATACACAATGCAACCATAGCTTATATGTTTCCCACTTCAAAACCTTAACGGCAGCAAACTCAGAGATTCAATGCAGAGTCTTATTTGTTTCATCTTTGTTTATTAACTGTGTTATTTCTACCCCGCTTTTCTCTCCATGGGGACTCAAGGTGGCATGGATGCAACACAATTACAAGCGTTATTTATTTATTCATTTCTATCCCGCTCTTCTCACCCCTCAGGGGTGAGAAGAGCGGTTCTGCTCATTGGGGTTCTGCTCATTGATTTTTTGGAAAGAGGTGAAACAATCAGTGCTGCAAGATATTATGAGACCATGAATAAACTTGGCAGAGCCATTCAAAACAAACATCGTGGGATGCTGACGGCAGAAGTCTGTCTCTTTCATGACAATGCGCATTCATTCGCACGCCGCTCATGCAACACGAGTTGTTGACTTCATTTGGTTGGGATGTTTTAAGGAACCCCTCTCACAACCCCAATCTTGCACTCAGTGACTATCATCTGCCGTGGATGTAGCGTACATGGATTTCAGTCAGGCCTTTGACAAGGTCCCTCATGACCTTCTGGCAAACAAACTAGTCCAATGTGGGCTAGGCAAAACGATGGTGAGGTGGATCTGTAATTGGTTAAATGGACGAACCCAGAGGATGCTCACCAATGCTTCCTCTTCATCCTGGAAAGAAGTGACAAGTGGAGTGCCGCAGGGTTCCGTCCTGGGCCCGGTCCTGTTCAACATCTTTATTAATGACTTAGATGAAGGGCTAGAAGGCAGGATCATCAAGTTTGCAGACGACACCAAATTGGGAGGGATAGCCAATACTCCAGAGGACAGGAGCAGGATTCAAAATGATCTTGACAGATTAGAGAGATGGGCCAAAACTAACAAAATGAAGTTCAGCAGTGACAAATGCAAGATACTCCACTTTGGCAGGAAAAACGAAATGCAAAGATACAGAATGGGGGACAATGCCTGGCTCGAGAGCAGTACGTGTGAAAAAGATCTTGGAGTCCTCGTGGACAACAAGTTAAACATGAGCCAACAATGTGATGTGGCGGCAAAAAAAGGCAACGGGATTTTGGCCTGCATCAATAGGAGCATAGTGTCTAGATCTAGGAAGTAATGCTACCCCTCTATTCTGCTTTGGTTAGACCACACCTGGAATATTGTGTCCAATTCTGGGCACCACAACTCAAGAGAGATATTGAGAAGCTGGAATGTGTCCAGAGGAGGGCGACTAAAATGATCAAGGGTCTGGAGAACAAGCCCTATGAGGAGCGGCTTAAGGAGCTGGGCATGTTTAGCCTGAAGAAGAGAAGGCTGAGAGGAGATATGATAGACATGTATAAATATGTGAGAGGAAGCCACATGGAGGAGGGAGCAAGCTTGTTTTCTGCTCCCTTGGAGACTAGGATGCGGAACAATGGCTTCAAACTACAAGAAAGGAGATTCCATTAGGAAGAACTTCCTGACTGTGAGAGCCGTTCAGCAGTGGAACTCTCTGCCCCGGAGTGTGGTGGAGGCTCCTTCTTTGGAAGCTTTTAAACAGAGGCTGGATGGCCATCTGTCAGGGGTGATTTGAATGCAATGTTCCTGCTTCTTGGCAGGGGGTTGGACTGGATGGCCCATGAGGTCTCTTCCAACTCTGTGATTCTATGATTCTATGTTCACTAAATTGAAAGAACACCTGGGTGGAAAACACTTTTCCGATGACGACAAGCTGAACATCGAAGTGACGAATTGGCTGGAAAAGGCGGCGGAAGACTTCTATGACACAAGCATTAAAAAACTCATCCCACAGATAATAGAATTTATTGAACTGAATGGTGATTATGTGGAAAAATAACGTAATACCTGTGCTACAATCCACGTAAGTTTTAGTATAATATACTCATTCTTTGTATTTTTTAAAAAATCTTGTAACCTTACTTTCAGGATATCCCTTGTAATTTAAAAACATGGGAAATACTAAAATATTTGTCTTGTGGATATAGGATACAATAAAAATACTCATACACTTAAATTTACATTATAAGCTTCCCTTACCGCTGCTTGGAAGCCCTTGAGGTTTGGGGTCAGAACTGGATAGCTGATGCCAGGGACCTTCTGGATGCCTTGCATGACTTCGGCATGGTCAGCCATCTAAAAAGCAGAACAACAAATAAGGTAAGATTCTAAATCTTCAAAGTCAAGGAAGGCCTTCCTTCCCCAAATGTTTTGATCTTTCTTTCACTTTTAGCTTTATTTATTTATTTGAATACATTTTAAAATGTGAGTTTAAATTAGATTGGTTGCATTAAAAATTAGGAAGAAAAAATGTAAAAAGAAAAACAATTTATTATTTATTTATTTATTCCAATTACTTCTACCCCGCCCTTCTCACCCCCGAGGGGGGACTCAGGGCGGCTTACAACGAAGGCACAATTCGATGCCTATGTCAATTATACAAACATACATAAAACAATTTAAACAAATTTTCAGATTAAAAACATCAATACATAATGTAATAGTAAACAATCTCATGCTCAGTGTTCAGAGTTCCGAATGTCCATTCCGTTCCATCAATTCCTGCTCATCATCGGGTCTTTCCTTTAGCTGCCAGAATGTCCAAAAGCTTGGTCCCATATCTAGGTCTTCAGTTTTTTTCTGAATGACAAAAGGGAGGTCGCTGATCTAATCTCCCCGGGGAGTGAGTTCCACAGGTGAGGGGCCACCACTGAGAAGGCCCTGCTCCTTGATCCCGCCAGTCTCACTTGAGATAGAGGCGGGGTCGAGAGCAGGGCCTCCCCAGAAGATTTTAAACTCCGAGGTGGGACGTAGAGGGAGATCCCTTCGGACAAATACACTGGGCCGGAACCGTATAGGGTTTTGTAGGTCAAAACCAGCACTTTGAATTGTGCTGGGAATTGGAGTCAGCCAGTGGAGCTGACATAACAGGGGGGTGGTATGCTCCCTGTATGCCGCTCCGGTGAGCAATCTGGCTGCCTCTCGCTGGACTAGTTGAAGTTTCTGAGCAGTCTTCAAAGGCAACCCCACGTAGAGTGCGTTGCAGTAATCCAATCGGGATGTAACAAGAGCGTGGACCACCGTGGCCAGATCTGACTTCCCAAGGTACGGGCGCAGCTGGCGCACAAGTTTTAATTGTGCAAAAGCTCTCCCAGCCACCGCCGAGACCTGGGGTTCCAGGCTCAGCGATGAGTCCAGGATCACTCCCAAGATGCGAACCTGCATCTTCAGGGGGAGTATAACCCCGTCTAACACAGGCTGTAACCCTATGCCCTGTTCGGCCTTACGACTGACCAGTAGGACCTCTGTCTTGTCTGGATTCAATTTCAATTTGTTAGCTCTCATCCAGTCTGACACAGCAGCCAAACACCGGTTCAAGGTCTGAACAGCCTCTTTAGTAACAGGTGGGAAGGAGTGACAGATTTGGACATCATCTGCGTAGAGATAACATCTCATTCCGAAACTCCGAATGATCTCCCCCAGCGGCTTCATGTAGATGTTAAATAACATCGGGGACAGAATTGAACCCTGTGGGACTCCACACAACAATGGTTGTGGGGCCGAACAGGTGTCACCCAGTAACACCTTCTGGGTCCGTCCCTCAAGGAAGGATCGGAGCCAGTGCAGTGCCCCCGAGCCCCATGTCCATGAGGCCCCGTGACCCATCTACAAGGTAAATTGAACCCTAATGCCTACAAGACACAATTCACTCCTTTTTGGGTCAGGGAATGTTCAGTTGATTGTTTGGGGTTTTCCTTGTATCAGGAGCAACCTGATGAACTGCAAGTTGCTTCTGGTGTGAGAGAATTGGCTGTCTGCAAGAAGGTTGCCCAAGGGACACCTGGATGTTTTACTGTCCTTGTGGGAGGCTTCTCTCATGTCCCCGCATGGGAGCTGAAGCTGACATCAGGTGCTCAACGCACTCTCCCCGGATTTGAACTGCTCACCTGTCAGTCAACAGCCCTGTTGGCACAAGGGTTTAACCCATTGCGCCATCAGAGGGTATCAGGGTCATATAAACAACTAGGGCCCACATGATGATGATTATGATAATAATATTATTTCTCTGCTCTAGGTGGAGCATAACATAGTTAAAACATATCATCATAAAATATTATGAAAGACATACATATATTAAAATGTAATTCTATGAAATATATATATTGTCAAAGGCTTTCATGGCCGGAGCCCCCGGTGGCGCAGTGGGTTAAACAACTGTGTTGGCAGGGCTGAAGACCGACAGATCGCAGGTTCGAATCCAGGGAGAGGCGAATGAGCTCCCTCTATCAGCTCCAGCTCCTCATGCGGGGACATGAGAGAAGCCTCCCACAAGGATAATAAAAAAACATCAAATCATCTGGGCGCCCCCTGGGTAACGTCCTTGCAGACGGCCAATTCTCTCATACCAGAAGCGACTTGCAGTTTCTCAAGTCGCTCCTGACATGATTAAAAAAATAAATAAATGGCCGGAATCACTGGGTTGTTGTAGGTTTTTTTGGGCTGTATGGCCATGTTCTAGAGGCATTCTCTCCTGACGTTTCCCCTGCATCTATGGCAAGCATCCTCAAAAGTAGTGAGGTCAGACCTTACTACCTCTGAGGATGCTTGCCATAGATGCAGGCAAAACGTCAGGAGAGAATGCCTCTAGAACATGGCCATATAACCCGAAAAAACCCATAACAACCCAATATATATATTAGTATACAAAGAACAAGCATACAGATCCAGGATCAAATTTTCAACACCTTCATTGAACAAGGAATCACAGAACCCTAAAGGGCCATTCAGCCCAACCCTATTATGCCAGGCAAGAAGGCCCAAACCCAGCCCTCCCAACAGATGACCATACAACCTCGGTTGAAACACCTCCAGGAACATCTGGACTGACCTGCGGGACCCATTTGGGAGAGACAAAACTGGTGGCTTCTATGACGGAAAGGCCTGTTTCTGACAGCCGGTTGATGAAGTCAATTTTCACCTGGGTAGGGACAATATTCTACACAAAAAGAGAGCAAGTAGGAAATAAAGTCACCGCTATACTTATATAAAAGATTTTTTTGAATTTCAAATTTCCAATTAAATTCTTTTCAATGGTAGAATGACAAACATTAAGGGCAGGAGCTGAACCAGGGAAACTGAGGAGCATGAACTAATGGTCAAAAAGTGACTCTTAGCACAAAGAAGAGAGCAAGAGGGTAGTCATAGATGCTCTTCTCATAAAAAAAGATTAATTAACAGAATTCAGATCCCATTTCTTTCACTTTTATATTATAACTGGTTTATCTTCAAGACAAGGCAAACTGATCATACTAAATGATAAAAGTATAAACATTCATGACTATGCATCACCATGAGTTTTGAAAGCCAGCCGGGTGCAAAGGTTGCCTCTTTTGCAACTTCCTATGGCTTTGCAATGAGTCAACATCCAAGTCCACCTTAGGCAAGCTGGCTGCAATTCTGCCTGTTTACAACAGACCTTCTCTCTGTCCTTTCTTAGGTGACAAAGGTAACAAGAACGTCAGAACCTGTCGGGTTTTATCTGAGTGAGAAGCCCAAGGGTTCTGGAAGCTCAGCCAAATAAATAGAGGGAAAAGGTTAAAGCCCTAGGACTTTGAAAAGATTAGCCAACAAATAGAAGGAAAAGGTTAATCTGTGTTTACTGGTCCGCATCGTATTGAACTTCTATGAAAATAATCTCTGTGTTGAACCGAAAATGTGCTTGCATGCCTTTGAATCATTTCTGACTTATGGCAATCCTAAGGCAAACCCATCACAGAGTTTTCTTCAGAAGGGTTCGCCTTTGCCTTCTTCCTCTGAGGCTGAGAGAGCATGACCTGTCCAACGTCACCCAGTAGGTTCCCAGAGCCAAACGGAGACTCAAACCCTCACCTCCAGAGTCATTGTTTAACACCGAAACCATTACATTATCGCGTTTTTCTTTGCACTGGACACAACAAAGTATTAAAATATACACCAGATTTCTAACACAAAGGACATTCGGCAGATTTATGTTATGATAGAATTTTGTTTGATTATGTGTAGTTTTATTTATTGATGTCAAGGTTAATTTACTGATGCTAAGTTTTTAATTTGATGTTAGGTTTTAATACTACTTTTATATGTGGGATTTTTCTGGGATTTTATGTCAGTATCATGTGTTTTATGTAGGCATTGAATGTTTGCCATTGTTATGTTGGAATCCTCCCTGAGTCATCTCAGGGAGATAGGGTGGAATACAAATAAAGTATTATTATTATTATTATTATTATTATTATTATTATTATTATTATTCCTCTTACCTTTTCATTCTGCAAACCGTCTCGCGGACCGACTTCAACAATTTTCACATGTTTCGGGAGGGAAGTAGCTGCTGCTGTGCTGAGCTAGAGGGAATAAGAGTTTAGAAATGAGTTTAGAATGATCAGAACCAAGTAAATAAAGACCTTTTTGATGTCTTCTTCATCAGGAAGCATGCCTGACCGTAGCAAAAGGAAGAAAGGTTTGAGGCATCCTGTGATTATTCTACATGTTTCATTCAGTGCTATATTCACCTGCTTTGCGTGGGCAGACTTGTGCCAGATGGGGCAGGCATACTCAGGAGTTGAGTAGGACAAGGCCAATGCTGATAATAATAATAATAATACTTCTGGCCTCACAATTGTGTTAAAAACAGTGTGGATCGTCAATATTGCAATCCCACGCAACAGCAGGATTGAAGAGAAACAAATGGAAATGCTGACATGATATGAGGATTTAAAGATCGAACTGCAAAGACTCTGGCACAAACCAGTAAAGGTGGTCCCAGTGGTGATTGGCACACTGGGTGCAGTGCCTAAAGACCTTGGCCTGCACTTAAACACAATCGGTGCTGACAAGATTACCATCTGCCAGCTGCAAAAGGCCACCCTACTGGGATCTGCGTGCAATATTCACCAATACATCACACAGTCCTAGACACTTGGGAAGTGTCTGATGTGTGATCCAATACAACAGCCAGCGGAGTGATCTTGTTTGCTGTGGACTCATCTTGTTGTGTTTCAAATAATAATAATAATAATAATAATAATAATAATAATAATAATACTTTATTTATACCCCGCTACCATCTCCCCAAAGGGGACTTGGGGTGGCTAACATGAGGCCAAGCCCAAACAATTACAACAGATCAAAATAAAAGACATGCAGCAAATAATAACATCAAATGAAATATAAACAAAACAAGTTAATACAAAGTCAAACACAGGAAATGAAATAAAATAATAAAAGTGTACAGAGCGAGCTGGGCTAAATTACAAGGGACAGAATTGAAAATATAAAAATCCTGGGTGAGATGGATGAGTAGGGTAGTGTGCCTGGTGGGGGATTTCAGATGGGATAAGCAATGGGGTGAATTTCACTAACAGTTGAGATAAAGTGCATCGAAGGGCATATTGTACTGAGCTGGTCATGGTGTGGGGATTTGTATCCATTCCTCAAAGGCACACCAGAACAGCCAGGTTTTTAGGCTCTTCCTGAAGGCTTGCAAGGGTGGGCGCTTGCCTAATCTCTCCGGGTAACGAGTCCCAAAGCCGAGGGGCCACCACAGAGAAGGCCCTCTCCCTCATCCCCGCAAGTCGCACTTGCGACGGAGGAAGAAGCAAGAGGAGGGCCTTCCCAGAAGATCGAAGGGGTTGTGCATGTTTGTAGGGCTACCAGTAAGTTTTTGCAGGATGTTATTGAATGTACCTACTTTGTGCTTGGTGTTCGCACAGTGCTTCCTAATTGTTACTGTTCGATCTAAGGCAGTGTTTCTCAACTTTCTGAATGTCGCGACCCCTTAACACACTTCCTCATGTTGTGGCACCTTCCAACCTTAACATTATTTTCGCAGCTACTTCATAACTGCAATTTTGCTATTGTTATGAATCGTAATGTAAATATCTGATATGCAGGATGTATTTTCATTCACTCGACCAAATTTGACACAAATATCCAATACATCCTAATTTGAATACTGGTGGGGTTGGGATGGGGGGGGGGAGGAATTGATTTTGTCATTTGGGAGTTGTAGTTGCTGGGATTTATAGTTCACCTACAATCAAAGAGCATTCTGAACTCCACCACTGATGGAACTTAACCAGTATGGGCACACAGAACTCCCACGACCAAGAGAAAATACTGGAAGGGTTTGATGGGCATTGACCTTGACTTTTGGAGTTGTAGTTCACCTACATCCAGAGAGCACTGTGGCCTCAAACAATGATGAATCTGGACCAAACTTGGCACAAATAATAATATGCCCAAATGTGAACACTGGTGGAGTTTGGGGAAAATAGATTTGTAGTTGCTGGGATTTATAGTTCATCAAAGAGCATTCAGAACCCCACTAATGGTAGAATTGAGCCAATGACCAACAGAAAATACTGTGTTCTGATAGTCTTTGGTGACCCTTCTGACACCCCCTTGCGACCAACTCAGAGGTCCCAACTCCCAGGTTGAGAAACACTGATCTAAGGTTTTGGGTTTTTTTTGCGTGTGGTTTTTTTGTGAGAGAATTGGCCATCTGCAAGGACGTTGCCCAGGGGACGCCAGATGATTTTTGATGTTTTATCATCCTTGTGGGAGGCCTCTCCCCGGATTCGAACCTGCGACCTGTCGGTCTTCAGTTCTGCTGGCACAGGGCTTTAACCCACTGCGCCACCGGGGGCTCTTCTGATCTAAAGTGACACCAAGATATTTAGGATGGGAACAGTGTTCACACCCTTGGCCTTCCCAGGTGAGATTCAATTTCCTGTTGGCTACGTAATTGGAAAACACACACTTGTACCTTGGCAGGGTTAGGCTTCAGGTGGTTATCTTTGTTGTAGCTGGACAGATCTATCTTTATATAAGAACCATATGCACCAGGCATAGGCCAACTTGGTCCTTCCAGATGTTTTGTACTTCAACTCCCACAATTCCTAACAACCTCAGGCCATTTCCTTTTCCGCTTAAGGAAGGGGTCTGAGGCTGTTAGGAATCGTGGAAGTCCAAAATATCTTGAGAGCCCAAGTTGGCCTATGCCTGGTATATAACTTATTAGATATAAATATATTATATATATATACACACACACAAACAATTATATAATAAATGTCGAGTATATACGTTTCTGGTACTACAGTAACAACATTAAACTCTCACCGGCCTCAGGGACGCCACCAGCCTCGCAATCGTCCGATTCGCCACCACCATGGCGACTTCTTCCTCCCTCTCAGCCCAGCTGAGAAGCCATTTTGGCCTGTCACGTGACATTGCCCCGGTGGGCGGGGCCCCCGGTCTCGCGCTCTCCTTTCTTAAAGGGGAACACACACCCAGGCCAAGAAAACTTCTTGTAGAATCATAGAATCAAAGAGTTGGAAGAGACGTCATGGGCCATCCAGTCCAATCCCCTGCCAAGAAGCAGGAATATTGCATTCAAATCACCCCTGACAGATGGCCATCCAGCTCTGTTTAAAAGCTTCCAAAGAAGGAGCCTCACTCCGGGGCAGAGAGTTCCACTGCTGAACGGCTCTCACAGTCAGGAAGTTCTTCCTCATGTTCAGATGGAATCTCCTTTCTTGTAGTTTGAAGCCATTGTTCTGCGTCCTAGTCTCCAAGGAAGCAGAAAACAAGCTTGCTCCCTCCTCCCTGTGGCTTCCTCTCACATATTTATACATGGCTATCATATCTCCTCTCAGCCTTCTCTTCTTCAGGCTAAACATGCCCAGCTCCTTAAGCCGCTCCTCATAGGGCTTGTTCTCCAGACCCTTGATCATTTTAGTCGCCCTCCTCTGGACACATTCCAGCTTGTCAATATCTCTCTTGAATTGTGGTGCCCAGAATTGGACACAATATTCCAGGTGTGGTCTAACCAGAGCGGAATAGAGGAGTAGCATTACTTCTCTAGATCTAGACACTATGCTCCTATTGAAGCAGGCCAAAATCCCATTGCCTTTTTTTGCCGCCATATCAAATTGTTGGCTCATGTTTAACTTGTTGTCCACGAGGACTCCAAGATCTTTTTCACACGTACTGCTCTCGAGCCAGGCATCCCCCATTCTGTATCTTGCATTTCGTTTTTACTGCCAAAGTGGAGTATCTTGCATTTGTCCTGTTGAATTTCATTTGTTAGTTTTGGCCCATCTCTCTAATCTGTCAAGATCGTTTTGAATTCTGCTCCTGTCCTCTGGAGTATTGGCTATCCCTCCCAATTTGGTGTCGTCTGCAAACTTGATGATCCTGCCTTCTAGCCCTTCATCTAAGTCATTAATAAAGATGTTGAACAGGACCGGGCCCAGGACGGAACCCTGCGGCACTCCACTTGTCACTTCTTTCCAGATGAAGAGGAAGCATTGGTGAGCACCCTCTGGGTTCGTCCATTTAGCCAATTCCAGATCCACCTCACCGTAGTTTTGCCTAGCCCACATTGGACTAGTTTCCTTGCCAGAAGGTCATGGGGGACCTTGTCGAAGGCCTTCCTGAAATCCAGGTACGCTACATCCACAGCATTCCCTGCATCTATATATTAGTCTATATATTTAATTTATATTAGTCCTGATTTATATTATTACTAATTATTATTACATTGGGGTATAAAGATTTATTTTTTTTGCTTTCTAAATCTCTTCCACTGTGTTTTTCACTGTTTTTATGGGTGATGGTCACCTCGTTGGCCTGATAGGTGTATTGTGTCAAAATTTGGTGTCAATTGATCCAGTGGTTTTTGAGTTATATTAATCCCACAAACGAACATTACATTTTTATTTATTTAGATTACTAGCTGTCCCCTGCCACGCGTTGCTGTGGCCCAAATGGGGGTTCTGTGTGGGAGGTTTGGCCCAATTCTATCGTTGGTGGGGTTCAGAATGCTCTGTGATTGTAGGTGAACTATAAATCCCAGGAACTACAACTCCCAAAGGTCAAGATTCTATTTTCCCCAAACTCCACCAGTGTTCACTTTTGGGCATATTGAATATTCTTGTAGAGTTTGGTCCAGATCCATCATTGTTTGGGTCCACAGTGTTCTCTGGATGTAGGTGAACTACAACTAGGTCAGTGCCCATCAAAGCCTTCCAGTATTTTCTGTTGGTCATGGGAGAACTGTGTGCCAAGTTTGGTTAATTCCATCGTTGGTGGGGTTCAGAATGTTCTTTGATTGTAGGCGAACTATAAATCCCAGCAACTACAACTCCCAAATGAGAAAATCAATATTTTTAGTGAAGAACATACATTGGGTTGTTTGGAGTCTTGAGTCCAAATTTGGTGTCAATTCATCCAGTGGTTTTTTTAGTTATGTTAATCCCACAAACGAACATTACATTGTATATACATTATATGTACTGTATATAGAGACATACACACACTTATGTTCATCTCTCCAAATGAGATGTTTATAAAATGCTGTTTAAATTGTGTGTGTATGTGTATATATATATGTGTGTGTGAGAGAGAGAGAGGGGGGTATTATTATGGAGAGAAGTGATGAGTGGAGTGCCAGAAGCAGGGTTCCGTCCTGGGCCTGATTCTGTTCAACATCTTTATTAATGACTTAGATGAAGAGTTAGAAGGCATGATCATCAAGTTTGCAGATGACACCATATTGGGAGGGAAAGCCAATACTCCAGAAGACAGGAGCAGAATTCAAAACGATCATAACAGATTAGAGAGATGGGCCAAAACTAACAAAATGAAGTTCAACAGTGACAAATGTAAGATACTCCACTTAGGCAGAAAAAAATGAAATGCAAAGATACAGAATGGGGGATGTGTGGCTCGAGAGCAGTGCATGTGAAAAAGATCTTGGAGTCCTTGTGGACAAGTTAAACATGAGCCAACGACGGCAAAAAAAAAAAACCCAATGGGATTTTGGCCTGTATCAATAGGAGTCTAGTGTCTAGCTCCAGGGAAGTCATGCTACCCATGCTCTATTCTGCCTTGATCAGACCACACCTGGAATCACATTGTGTCCAATTCTGGGCACTGCAGTTGAAGGGAGATGTAGACTCTAAGATGTGATGTGTCCGGAGGAGGGCGACTAAAATAATCAAGGGTCTGGAGAACAAAGCCCTATGAGGTTAAGAAGAACTTCCTGAACGTGAGAGCTGTTCAGCAGTGGAACACTCTGCCCAGAGTGTGGTGGAGGCTCAACCTTTGGGGGCTTTTAAACAGAGGCTGGATGACCATCTGTTGGGGGTGCTTTGAATGAAATTTTCATGCTTCTTGCAGAATGGGGTTGGACTGGATGGCCCACAATGTCTCTTCCAACTCTATGATTCTATGTCTCTTCTGGCAGAAGGCCTACCTAGTCACCTTTCAGTGAGTTTTGATTTACATTCTATTGCTACCATCTGTCAATATTGTATCTGTCTTTGATATTTTTGTGTTTTTTTCTATATAATATATATTTTATGTCCATATGTTTTTTACTTTGGTGTACCCTGTCTAGAGCCATTACCAATATATGAATATTATTATTTCAATATTTATATGTTTGACATACACATACATGGGAGCATACACACACGGTATCTTGTCCCCTGTGACATCAGCGCCCCTCCCCTAGCAATAATGTAATATTATGTAGTACTAGTGTTATGAATGATGTAATAGTACTATGCTAGTTATGTATTATGTAGTATGTAGTATGTTGTATGTACTTATGGCTTGTAAGCCGCTCTGAGTCCCCTTCGGGGTGAGAAGGGCGGCATATAAATGTCGTAAATAAATAAATAAATAAATAAATAAAGATTATTATTATTATTATTATTATTATTTTAATACTTGTATTGGAAAGTGCTTATTATACTTTTAAAGGTTATATATTTTATGTCATGGCCTATGGCTAGTACAATAAACAAGTCATTCATTCACACACACACAGGGGCACAAGTGCAATAAAATCCCATCAAAGTATCTCCGGATGGCATCCAATACCATAAATTTGAACAGTTCAAAACCATACAAATAAAGGCTAAATGCATAATAGTTGAAGACAGTTAAAATAAGTTAAAAGCCCTATCTTATATTTTTTCCATGTGTGTTCCTTGACTGATGAGACCTAAGGTGCATCTACACAGGTATCTATCTACTGGCTGTTAGGAATTGTGGGAGTCGAAGTCCAAAACTTCAATTCCTGAAGATTGCCCATGCCTTATCCAGTGTAGAATTAATGCAGTTTGACACCATTTTAACAGCCATGGGTCCATGCTATTTGATCACAAGAGTTGTTGTTTGACAAAGTCTGCCAGAGTTCTGATTTTCACGAAACTACAACTCCCAGGACCCAACTGCACTGAGCCATGGCAGTTAAAGCAGAGTCAAACTGTATTCATTCTACAGTGTAGATGCTACCCATAAAAGAGGATCCTTCAAACATAATACAGGTGTCCATATGGAGAGACACTTAGGTTCTATGCACACTTATCTGGAGCAAACCACCGAATTCAGTGCAGTTTTATTTCCATAGACGTGTACATAGAATTGGAATTGATGTTAAGATACCAGACATCAGAGAACTGTAGCTTGATCCACTCTATCCTTGAAAAAAAAAATGTGTCCCTCCTTTTCAAAGCCACATACCTGGCCGATCAGGCTTCCTCTTCGTAAAGGCCCCATTTTGGTGCGTTGCAGTCTTGGAGAGTTTAAGGCTGGTGCTGCTTGATCGGCTGAGAGGAAGCATCATGCTCCGCCATGTGCACATTTATACCAGCCCCTGAATCAACAGAAGCACAAGGTTCTGCAACTGAAATATTGGTTTTGGCCCTCAACGCCAATCTCTTTTCTTTTGGCATCAGGTGTTGATTACGTTGGAAAAGTCCATGATGAAACAAAAGAGGTGTGCCACTTCGGCATCATGGCTCTTCTTCTAACGTGATGTAAGGAAAGATTCCTGCCAAATGGATGCTCAAAACGATGATGAAAGGCTCAGAAAGTGTCGTAAGTACGATGACATCAGCCATGTTTTCCCATGATCTCACTGGCAGGGATTTCGCTCTGACTCCCGCACTATACGCTGAACATTATTGCACAGTATTGCAATTAATGATTGAGCCTCAATGTTCCATCTTTCTCTGCACATGGCACCAACCATCAAGGCCACACATGTTTAGAAAGGATCCAAAGTAATGAAAGGTGTGAGAAGGAGGATTCCTTTGGCTCCCACTCAAAAAAAGAGAGTGATGTCTCTAAAAACTGCTGGAGTGGGAAAGCAGCAAGTGGGAGCAGGTTTAAAAAAATCTAGATGAAAGTGGGCAATGAATGGAGGTGGGCCCTGAAACTGAAAATTATCACCCTCCTGGCTGTAGTTAAATATATTAATTCTAAGTGAAAAATTGCAAGTTTGTAAAGATAATCCCCATCCAGATAGTTGAGACTGTTTGGCACATAACACTAATACCAGTGGTCATTATACTTATTTCTACAGATTGAGTATTTCTTATCCGAAACGCCCTGGACCAGAAGTGTTTGGGATTTTTACCCCCAGATTCTGGAAAACTTGTATGAGCACATACATACATACATACATAATTCAGTATCTTGGAAACGGGACCAAAATTGAAACACATAATTCATTTGATACCTTATACACATATAGTAAAGGTAAAGGTTTCCCCTGACATTAAGTCTAGCCATGTCTAACTCTGGGGAGTGGTGCTCATCTTAATTTCTAAACCAAAGAGCCAACGTTGTCTGTAGACACCTCCAAGGTCATGTGGCCAGCATGACTGCATGGAGCGCTACTACCTTCCCGCAGAACCAGTACCTATTGATCTACTCACATTTGTATGTTTTCAAACTGCTGGGTTGGCAGAAACTGGGCCTAACAGCGGGAGCTCACCCTGCTACCTGGATCCGAATCACCAACCTTTCGGTCGGCAAGTTCAGCAGCTCAGCAGTTTAACCCACTGCGCCACCAGGGGGCCCTTATACACATATAACCTGAAGGCAATTGTATACATTTAAAATAATTTCAGTACACTGGACCATCAGAAAGCAAAGGTGCCACTATCTCAACCGCCCATCTTTAATTGACCTGTCAATTTATGGTAACCCCATGAATTTTATCGGATCTATAGGTAAAGGTTTCTCCTTGATATTAAGTCTAGTCGGGTCCAACTCTGGGGGGTGGTGCTCATCTCCATTTCCAAGCCGAAGAGCCGGCGTTGTCCATATACACCTCCCAAGACCATGTGGCCGGCATGGCTGCATGGAGCGCCGTTACCTTCCAGCCGAAGCGGTTCCTATTGATCTCACATATGCATGTTTTCAAACTGCTAGGTTGGCAGAAGCTGGGGATAACAACAGGAGCCCACCGCATCTGGGAATTCGAACCGCCAACCTTCCGATCAGTGGTTTAACCCGCTGTGCCACTGCAGCCCCTTGATCTAAATATTGTTGATCTAAATATAGTTGAGAGTGCCTTGGACGGCAAGAAGATCTAACCAATCCATACTCCAGGAAATAATGCCCAACTGCTCACTGGAAGGAAGGAAATTAAGAGGCAAACATGAAGCACTTTAGCCACATAATGAGAAGACACAAAATCTTGGAGAAAATAATGATCCTGGGAAAAATGGAAGGAAGAGGGGCTGACCAAGGGCAAGGTGGATGGTATCCTTGAAGTGACTGGCTTGACCTTGAAAGAGCTGGGGTAGGACGGGTGAGCAGAAGCTCTGGCGTGGGCTGGTACATGAGGTCATGATGAGTCGGAAGTGACTGAACGAATAAACAACAAAAATATACTTGATCTAAATTAAGGGCCCTTCTTCTTACATGCTGGTAAGTGTTTAAGTATGTCTGGAATATGCATACTTTTCATCCAGTTAAAAAGTGAAACTCATTGGACTTACAAGTTTCTAAGCTAGGGGTCCTCAAACTAAGGCCCGAATACAGCCCTCCAAGGTCATTTACCCGGCCCTCGCTCAGGGTCAACCTAAGTCTGAAACGACTTGAAAGACCACAACAATCCTATCTCATCAACCAAAAGCAGGTCCACACTTCCCATTGAAATACCAATACGTTTATATTTTAATTATTGTATTGTTTTTAAGTGTTTTTGCACTACAAATAAGATATGTGCAGTGTGGATAGGAATTCATTCATGCTTTTTTCAAATTATAATCCGGCTCTCCAACAGTTTGAGGGACTGAGACCTGGCCCTCTGTTTAAAAAGTTTGAGGACCCCTGTTTTAAGCAAGTCCTGTTTTTCTTGAAAAGTGTTTCTTTTGAAGCGACTTTGCAAAAGGCTGCATTCTCCTCAATGATCGATTATACTTTTCCATACAGTTCTGTTACATCTGACAGTCCAATCATCCACCTTCAATACCAGCTCTTGCCCTGTTTCCATGACTCCTGGTTGCAGTGCCTTGTATACAAATCAATCCAATGCTCTTATTCAGATTCAAGTTTTTATTTATAAAAAAACAAGTAACATATAAAATTTAGGTACAAAAAAGGCACTGCAGTTGAAATCTGGCAGCATCCTATATAAGAAGGACCACTCGCAGTTTGGGACAACCAAGCTGTTTTCCTGCCATAGAATAACCAACTATTTAATAAGAACACAAATATTCTTAAGCAAGTGCATACTTTTCTTCATTATAGCAATCCGGGATGGAAGAACTGTACTGATCAATCCTTTCTTCATAGTCCAGGGCCTACCAGTCTGCATTCCACATGAAAAGCAAATAACCGGTGCATACTCCCTTTGCAGTGTCAAAACTGAATGCCAACTCCCCTGCATTTTAATCTAACACTAGATGATGCTGTAGCAAAACTGAAAATAATTATACCAAAAAAATATAGCCGATCCATCTGCAAGAACATCCTCCATGGAACACGAGTGCAAGTGCAAAGATTTCCTTCCATATTTTGTGTTTGATTATCTAAAGGACTGCTCAAATTATAAAATAAGGGAATCGTTCACAAAAAGCAGGTAAAACATGAGCCATTCATAAAGGAAATGTGTTGTGGGAGAAATGCTTCTGGAGGTTTGATAAAAGGTGCAAGTTAAAGAAATAGCGTAGTATCATTTGTGAACATATGAATGTTCGACCATTCAAGGCAGCACTCTTCTTTTGAGCAAAGAGATTACCTACTCTGTAGGCAACTTAGCTGGACACTCTGCATTCATTTGTGAATATACTGAGATTTCATTGGATGTAATCCTCATCCAAATGTCATTCCTTACCAAACAAGTCATCCTGATCATCTGGGCACTCTCTCAATTTGACTAAACGATCTTGCCCAATGGCAGACTCCTGACAATGGACGTCATTAACTTCACTGTTTCCCAAGAACTATGTTGTTTTTTGTTCCCATCTAGATTCCAAAACAACTGAAAAGGCTTGGTATTTGAGTATCTATTGCTCCAAAACTGTAATGGCTTGCCAACAGCAATCTGAGTTGACTCTGTGGTCCCTTCCCTTTGCAATTCACCTGTCAATGACTCTGTTTCCAGGCTTCTTTATCTTGGCCAAAAACTCTGTAGGACCTTTCACAATCTCAAGTAGAAATAAGAAAGCTCCCACCACCATCAAAGCAGATTGGAAGCCAGGGTTGAATGATGAATTTTGAAAAAGACGATAAACACAATGGCGGTCTCCCCTTCAGCAGCTGCTCTTCTAGTGTCTGGTCACAATAGTCCCAGACAATTGCCCTGAAATCTCTGGAGATGGTTCTCATTCCATATAAGCGATACTTTATATATTATGGCAGTTAAATCATGTTGGAAGACAGTTGCTTCTTCAATCCTTTCTGATCAAAATGCAGCACTTGAGGATGGTTAACATATAAAGCTTTTGCTTCATTCAACAATGATTTGTTTATGTCTTAATCTGTTTGTGCCACTAATCACAGCGGCATCCAAGTTTCATCTCTGGGAGTGCCTTGATTCTTGTCCTGCTTCGCCATCAGGAGACACCAACCAGTTTGAGAGTCCAGCCATATTGCAGAGGAAGCAGGGAAGGGATGGTCAAGGGCAGAGTGACCCCCAGCCCCTTGTCTGGCAAGGCCTGCCATTTCAAAGGGGCAGAGACCCCCAACATTGTCACCTGCAGGAGATAAAAAACAAGAGATGCTGATCTGTTGCATTATAGAAAACACTTTACTGATGTATCAAATGACTTCCTGTTAGGGCAAAAGCAATTTCAAAATGAAGCACAGCTTCAAAAATGTCCTCTGCTGTATAGGAAAACAAACAGTATTAAAGTCCTCACAACCTCTGAGGATGCTTGCCATAGATGCAGGCGAAATGTCAGGAGAGAAAGCTTCTAGAACATGGCCATATAGCCCCAAAAATGTATAACAACCCAGTATTAAAGTCTCCAACTTCTCTGGGGGAAAGGGAGGGTTCTAAAAAATCACAAATACCTTCTTTAACAATTATGAGAGCCAATTTATCAGCAACTCCTGCAAGGCTGACGTTGGTATTTATTTTATTTACTCCATTTGTACTCTGCCTTTCTCTACTCCGAAGAGGACTCAAGACAGCTTTATATATGGCAACTATTCAATGCCTTTGAACAACAAACAGTTAAAATACATTAAGTTAAAGATTCTAAAATTAAATGCACATTAAAAAATATCCCATTACAATTACTATTAAAATCATGCCATACACAATCGTAATCCTCAGCCATTTCAAGCTTAGGTAGGCAGCAATAATGCTTTTTCAGCATTGCCAGCATTACAATCATAGCCCATGGAATGATCTCCAAAGTCAGATTGATCGTATTTTAAACTTGAGGATTTCAAGTGTCTGTTTGAATCTGTCTTTCTTTCATGTCTTCAGTGTCAGTTTGGGGGGGGGGGGGTTATGAGCTTCTGTTTCTGTTAAAGGGGCTCATTACACAATTCGTTCTGCTTTAAGTACATTTTATAGCTGCAAGATGCTTTGAATTCATTGGTGCAAAATATAACTCAATGTCACCAGATCTTAAACCAGAATATTTCCAAAATTCTCCTTACTTGAGTGCTTGCAGATGGGACAGGGGATGACAGCTTCAACACACTGTTTTCTGGCCAGGTCAAGAAGATAGCATAGACTACTGTTCCCTTTGAAGTATACCTGAGAGAAGACAAAGTGAAACAGTGAAATATGAAGAACAGTTTGAATATAAAAAAGTAGAACATCTGCAAGGCTTCAAGTTGAACGAGGAGTGCTCTACCCCATTGAAAATTTTAATCCTTCAATGGAAGAGAGGGAGCCCTCGGTGGCAAAATGGGTTAAACCCTTGTGCTGGCTGGACTGCTGACTGAAAGGTTGGCAGTTCAGATCCGGGGAGAGCTCCCGCCTGTCAGCTCAAGCTTCCCATGCGGAGACATGAGAGAAGCCTCCCACAGGATGGTAAAACATCTGGGCGTCCCTTTGGCAACGTCCTTTCAGGCGGCCAATTCTCTCACTCCTCACACACGCGCAAATGGAATAGAGCACTCCCTGGCTCAACATGAAGCCTTGCCAGGTTTGACCAGAGTTGAAGGTGAGACAACAGGCCTCTGAGGTTTTCTCTCACACTTCATCTGTCCAGCCAAGAGGACTGATGAAAGGCTCAAAGTCAAACTTTGCATTTACTCTGAAAAAGCAAACATTGCACTGCAATCTGTCCTCTCTCCCAGCAACTACTGACGTCAATAACACAGTGTTGCTTGTGTCCAGAAGGGGTCTAGGTGAAATTTTCCATTCACTTCTTTGCAAAGGACTTCCCTTTCAAATGCCCTCAACAAGATCAAGAGATGGAGAATTACTATTATTTCAGCCAATTTCTTGAGGAGCCCCCAGTGGTGCAGTGGGTTTAACCCCTGTGCCAGCAGGACTGAAGACCGACAGGTCGCAGATTCGAATCCGGGGAGAGCGTGGATGAGCTCCCTCTATCAGCTCCAGCTCCTCATGTGGGGACATGAGAGAAGCCTCTCACAAGGATAAAACATCAAAAACATCCGTGCGTCCCCTGGGCAATGTCCTTGCAGACAGCCAATTCTCTCACACCAGAAGCGACTTGAAGTTTCTCAAGTCGCTCCTGACACGACCAAAAAAAAAAAAAAAAAAAGCCAATTTCTTAGTTTTTAACTCATCACGAACACATAGATAGTGTGTGAATTGGAGGAGGATATATATATATTAATGAAATAAAATAAAACATAAAAAGTTTCTCAATCCTTCCACTTCTCTTTTGTCTTCCCCAAATGCATCAAAAAGTCAACCAAGGAAAAGCAGTGGTTCTCAACCTTCCTAATGCTGCAACCCCTCAATACAGTTCCTCATGTTGTGGTGAACCCCAACCATAAAATTATTTTCATTGCTACTTCACAACTGTCATTTTGCTACTGTTATGAATTGTAATATAAATATCTGATATGCAGGACGTATTTTCATTCACTGGATCAAATTTGGCACAAATACTCAATATGCCCAAATATGAATACTGGAGGGGGTTCGGAGGGGGTTGTTTTTGTCATTTGGGAGTTGTAGTTGCTGAACTCCACCAACGATGGAATTGAGCCAACCTTGGCACACAGAACTCCCATGACCAACAGAAAATACGAAAAGGGCTTGGTGGGCATTGACCTTGAGTTTTGGAGTTGTTGTTCACCTACAACCAGAGAGCACTGTGGACTCAAACAATGATGGGTCTGGAACAACCTTGACACAAATACTCAATATGCCCAAATGTGAACACTGGAAAATAGACCTTGACATTTGGGAGTCGTAGTTTTTGGGATTTATAGTTCACTTACAATTAAAGAGCGTTATGAACACCAACAATGATAGAATTGGGTCAGACTTCCCACACAGAACCCCCATGACCAACAGAAAATATTGTGTTTTCTGATGGTCTTTGGTGACCGCACTGACAACCCCTAATGACCCCCCCCCCCCCAGGTTGAGAAAAGCTGGTCTGAAGCTTTTTTAAAAATCTGGCCTCCACCAATCTGACATACTCTAAATGTATCATCATAATTATATATACCCTGCCTTTTCTCTCTAAAAAGAGACTCAAAGTGGCTTACAGTAAAATCAATACAATACAATTTAAAACCTAAATGTGTACAAATATTAAAATAGAATTAAATACTAATATTGAAAATAAACAGTTAAAACTCTTAAAACTGATTAAAGACCTATTCATAGCTAAAACAACAGCACTCTCCAACTTGATCTTATTATAATGAACCACAATACCAAGAATTCCCAATTAAGTGTGGGATTTGTCATTTAATACATTGGGAGGACACCAAAGGCAAATTAAAGGAAAACAGGAAAGCACTTTGTAGCTTCAGCTGCTGTTACCTTTTCCCAGCTTTGTGAATAGGTAAAATATTTTAAATATAGCACAACGTTAACTTTGAAAAGAAGCTTATGTAGTTTTGTATACCAAGTAAGTAAAAAGCTTGGAATAATTTGATCATACCAAGTGCTGTCACTGCCATTGTCCTTTTGAACTCTCCATGGTTTTGACTCGTAAATGGCTTCTCCGTTAATGCTCAGCCACTTTCCAAGAGCCAGAAGCCGTTCCTGAAAGACTGGAACTATCACCCCTTCCTTTGTGGGTCCGATGTTGAGGAGATAGTTTCCTCCATAACTCACAGTTTGCACAAGTTCCTGAAGTGGAAGCACAAAATGAAACATGAGAGCAATTCCAAGTCAGGAGGAGAAAAATAATTTTGAAAGAGAACCTGTATGTCTGAGATCTCTAGCTTGGTCCTTATACTGAAGTAAGAATATAAATAGAAGCTTTGCTGATCCAGCAGTTTGGCTGAACATCTGAAGGATGAAAACACTCTTGCTTCAGGTATTCAGTTTGTCAAACCCCTCTAGAGTGGATTGCTGTGAGTTTTCCAGGCTGTATGGTCATGTTCCAGAAGCATTATCTCCTGACATTTCGCCCACATCTTTAGCAGGCATCCTGAGAGGTTGTGAGGTTTGTTGGAAACTAGGCAGGTGGGGTTTATATATCTGTCCAGGGTGGGAAAAAGAACTCTTGTCTGTTTGAGGCAAGTGTGACTGTTACAACTGATCACCTTGATTAGTATTGAAGACCCTTGCAGCTTCAAGGCTTGGCTGCTTCCTGCCTAGGGGAATCCTTTGTAGGGAGGTGTTAGCTGGTCCTTATTGTTTCTTGTCTGGAATTTCTCTGTTTTCTGAGTGTTGTTATTTTAACAACTATCATGTCAGACTACATAGTGAAGCCACTGAAATCCACAAGTATGTGGACAATTTCAACAGAAAGGACGAAACCATGAAAATAAACAAAATCTGGCTACCAGTATTAAAAATCAGGACAGTAAAGAAAGAACTTCAACAACCCATCTAGACTGCTTTTTTCGTCAATTGGTTTCCTACTCTTGTTAAATCCAAGGTCCAATTAAAACTTCATTTCATTGCTGAACCTCTTCAGCAATGTCTTGCAAGACTTTCTAATCTGCTTCAGAACTAACTTGCATCCCTCCCTCTGCTTACCATAATGATGCTGGACTCATCCATAAGCTCAGAGATTTGCATGCCACTTCGATACCCCCAAGACCTCCTGTCAATAGAGCTGCACATCTCCCACTTGTGGCTGGGCAAAGTCCCGGGCTTGTATTTGTCTTGACAGTTATAGTAGCCTCCGTGATGACAGGAACAATTGAAGCCCCATCGATCGTTCACCACCACAGTGTCCTACCAAGACAGATCCAGGAGAAGAGTTGAAGTGACATTTGTGGCATAAGGAGGGGAGGAATGTGGGGCTGCCTTCATTGATGCTCAAAACAAACCAGAGCTTAATGCTTCTGTAGACACAGTACCCTATTTATTGTTCACTATTCAGCAGGCCTACCCAGTCAATTTTAAACCATGTATTTTAAATTGCCATTCTGTTACTGTTATATTTTACTCTTTGTATCATCTATTTTATTATGTGTCTTTTAAAGAAATGTGTTTTAATATATGTAATTTATTGTATGTATTCAGTGATTATTTTAACTGTGTTGTGCCCTGCCTCGGGATTTGAGGAAAGGCAGGTAAAGAAATCATTATCACCATCATCATCCTCTGGATAAGAAAACATGGAAAGACAGTAATATAGGATCCTAGAAAGTATTACACACGCCCAGTTCCGTTTATCACTTTACTCCACCTTAAGCTCAATGAAAAGAATCAAAGCTCTTTATGATTATCCGGCAGGCCTACCCAATTAGTTTTAACTATGAATTTAAAAGTCATGTCTTGTGTTTAATCTTTGTTCTGTGTACTTTAAAATATGTTTTTCATAGAAATACATTTTAATATGTGTATTTTATATAATGTTTTACGATGATGTGTTTCTAGCTATGTTGTGCCCCGCCTTGAGCCATGAGAGGAGGGTGAGAAATAAAATTATTATTAAATGTGAAGATTTCCCCTTGACATTAAGTCTGACCCTGGAGGGGTGATGCTCATCTCCATTTCTAAGCCAAAGAACCAGTGTTGTCCATAGACATCTCCAAGGCCATGTGGCTGGCATGACTGCATGGAGCATCGTTACCTTCCAGCTGAAGCGGTACCTATTGATCTATTCACATTTGAATGTTTTTGAACTGCTAGGTTGGAAGAAGCTGGGGCTAACAGTGGGAGCTCACCCTGCTCCCTGGATTCAAACCACCGATCTTTCAGTCAGCAAGTTCAGCAGCTCAGCAGTTTATTATCATCCCTAAAATTCCCAATGTCTGAGTAACGAAGGGGTTCATAGCACTAGTCACATCCTCTGAAGGCCTGCTATTTATGCCATTTTTCCAACATGACTTCCATGTTTAAGCACATGCATAGTCTGAGGTTTTGTGGGAACAGCAGATCCCCCCTCCCCCCTCAGGTGTTGCTGACCCAAAAATACTAGCAATCCTACCCGGCACATCCAATGGGGAGAGAAATGATGCGAGTAACATTTAGCACCATCTGGACATGCAATTCCCACTCTTGCTCAAAGGTTTAGAAATGTGTAGAAAACAGGAATTATGGAGTTATATACTCTTGCTATTTCTGTTCTCAGACTTGGAGATGGCAATCACAAGTAATACATATTTCTATTTCCTGCACTTTGTTACAATACTTAAAGTGGAGTTTGTATAGTGCTCTCACCGTTAGCTACATGAACTGAGCCTCCATCAAGAAAAACCTATAGGTCTCACTGCAGAGGTGACAGATACATTTTGGACACTCTGAAGAACCACAAAGACTTTCATGGGCCAAAATATCTAAAGAGCCACTCTAAAGTCTTAATCTCAAATGCAAGCAAGTAGGAAAAACTTGGCTGGGTTTTCAACATTCATTAACTGCCCCAGTTCAAAGCAAATTCAGATACCTTGACTGGACTATCGTTGTAAAGCCAGGCAAGGAAATTAGTTGAGTTCCAGTATGTATCTGGAGCTTCCCATTCTCCATCAGACCAGATGAGTTCCGGCTTGTACCTTTAGATGCAGATTAACAAAACCAGAAAATTTACCAATACAATTGTGTCCTAGTTCCTGCTCATTCTGTTGAGATGTGCTAATAGTGACTGGTCTGATTATACTGTTGTAAAACAAAGTGGACAATTTCAGCAGGGTGGGGAAACTTCACATTCTAAGGACTAGACATATCTTGCTAGCTAAATTTGGTGGCATAACATTAAAGATAATAAACCTTCCCTCTTAAAACCAAGCACATGAAGAGTTTATGCTGTTTTCTGAATAGAGTGTTATGCTTTAGAGAAGGGCTTCTTAAACATTTTCCATTTGTGACCCCTTTTGCCCAAAATATTTTTCCATGACCTGGGTATATAGGTAAATACGTTTTCTATCTCAAAAACTAGAGCTGATATGGAGAAACTGGCATATACCCAGAAATAGACCCAGAAACAGGACTAACATTTGAGACACCAAAATGTGTGTTGGCTATTGTAATAAATCAGCATTTGCAAGGCTTGCTATATAGGCCGATTTTCCTTTTTATGGAATACAGTTGAAGCAGTTTCTGCAAAGTCCCACTGTTGCTAACAGATTTGTGTAAATGTTTAGGTGGCATTATGAAACCTTTTACTACTGCCAATTTTTTGTGACCCCAACACTGAGCTCAGAGGACCTCATTTGGGGCCAGGACCCTGAGTTTAAGAAGCAGTGCTTCAGAGAACTCGATTGTTCTTCAAAGCCAGGTACATCTTCCTCCTGCACTTGGTTTCAGAGAACAAATAAAAATGTGTTGTTACTCCTAGACCACAATACAGTGACATAACCACACACAGCCTGCATGTTGGCCACTTTTGTTACAAATTTGCTAGTAAAACAAGCCTGTCTTTGCCTACATCTATGCAGTGGGGTGTTGGGTCTGTGTATCTTGGCAGCCGAGGCACTTAGCAAGTATAGGCCAGTATTAGAGCACCTACAGAACAGAGCTATAGACAGAAGCACAAGCTTGTCCCTGGTCTCGCAGATTCTAAGCAGATGTACTTGGCCTTGTTGCACGCAACAGGGTTCACTTCTGATGAAATACATCTAGGAGTCTCTTTCACACTACATAAGCAATTAAAGCACTTGGCTCCACTTCAATTCCTATGGAATCCTGGAATTTGCCGTTTCATGAGGTCTTTAGAATTTTCAGCAAGAGAGCTCTAGCCTGTCACCAAACTACAAGTAACAAAATTTCATAGAAGGGCTTCTGGAAGTTACAGTCTAACACAGAGGGAACCACGTCTAGATAGTAGAGGCTAATCTAGGTTTTTCTGATGATGTCTTGCTCTTACCTTAAAACAAGGTCAAAAAGCTCTGGCATAGTCTTCTCAGAGACAAAATACTGAGTCTTGAATCCATTGTTTTTGTCCATCAAATAGAGTGGATGAAACCATTCATAGAGGGAGTGGTACAGCCCATAATGTATGTTCCTAAAGATTAGAGCAAAAGATCCACAAGTGATCAGAAAGCTCCTAAGCCCAGCCTCTCCACCCCAACCTTTGAACCCACATCCATACCTTTTTCGGAGGGCATCTCCCAGTTGTCCCACCAAGTCTCTATGGGGCCCTGTATCTACCGAGTTCCAGTTCCAAGACACAGGGGAACCCCAGTTGGTGAAGCCTTCGTGATGCTTTGTGGTCAGCACCACATATCTTTAGGCAAAGGAAGATAACAAGTCAGGAAGGAAGAGAACCCATAGTAAATATACCCACATTTAAGAGATAGCAAAGAAAAAGACAAGGCTTCATCTGCCTTTTAAAACTGTATCATCGGCAGATCAAATTCAGGAAGATACTCCTTACTCTGTCTTAATACATCTGAAGTGTACCCCACCTCTGGGGTTTGGTTACAGGATCCAAGATCCGTGGATGTTCATGTGATCATATACAAATTGTTTACTAAATTGCTGTCTCTTATATAAAATGGCAAGATCAAGGTGGGCTTTTTGGAAATTTTTCAAGTTGCAGCTCATTGAAACTGCGGGTGCAGAATCCTGGGATACAGATGTCTGGCCGTATACTCGTCTATGTATATGTATTTACATGACTCTATTTCACCATTAATTGTAATGCACACCCCAATTTTGAGGTGCACATGACCAAAAATGGATTTGCCAGAGAAGCAAGAAGTGGCACCCTTCTGCCAAGTAGAGGCTGGATAATTTGCCAGTCTTGACTTGGTGGAGAGGGGCAGCACTTATCCTTAGCCTCCCAGCTGAAATAGGGGGAAGGTGGCTTGGGAAGAAGGGAGGGGGATTCCCTTCTCCTTAGCTTCCCAGATTGGAGGCTAAGGACAACAGGACTTGGAAAGGGGTGAGGTGGGAGAAGCGGCACCCCCATCAAACTGGCTGGCGAACTGGGATTGGAAGAGGGGGTGTGGCTTCCTAGCTGGCTTTATTCAGGGTCTGAATGGAGGAAGTTGGGAAGCCTCTGCATCAGGCGGAGGCTTCCGAGTTCACTAGCCTCAGCCTGATGGAAAAGCATAGGCATCTTTGGGCACATGATTCGAATGTGCCATCAAATGTAAAGTGCATCTCCATTTTGGCTAAGCAATTATACTTCAAAACAGTGGTTCTCAACCTGTTTTGGCCTACAACTCCCAGAAATCCCAGCCAGTTTACCAGCTATTAGGATTTCTGGGAGTTGAAGGCCAAAACATCTGGGGACCCACAGGTTGAGAACCACTGCCTTAAAAGATGTGCATTACATTCGAGTAAATATGGCATATTATGCATAGTCTTGTTTGCTGCAATGTTGGGAGGATGGGTATCAGCAATACATGTATTTAAAGTAATACTTAAAGGGTTTACAAATAATAAGCGGAAAGATCTTCAGCCTTCTCTGTCAAAGGGCTTCCTAAGACCATCAGAAATATGTGTTTTCTAATGGTCTTTGGTTACCCCTCTGAAGCCCCCCTCAAGACCCCCAGGTTGAGAAGCACTGGTCTATAGTCTATACGTGGGGCTGCCCTTGAAGACGGCCCAGAAATTCCAACTGGTCCAACGAGCAGCAGCCAGACTACTAACTGGTGTGAATTACAGGTAACGGTATACCCCCTTGTTTATTTTCCGGTCCCAATTCAAGGTGCAGGTACATACCTACAAAGCCCTGAAAGGTTTGGGACCTGCCTAACTTCGTGACTGCATTTCCTTTTATGAACCTACATGACCCCTTTGATCTTCCAGAGAGGCCTTTCTCGCGCTCCCGCTTCCATCGCAAGTGCGACTTCTGGGGACGAGGAAGAGGGCTTTCTCTGTAGAGACCCCTCGGCTCTGGAATTCACTCCCCAGAGAAATTAGGCAAGCCCCCATCCTGGCAGTCTTTAGGAAGAGCTTGAAAACTTGGCTGTTCCAGTGTGCCTTCAAAGGACGATGAACTGAACTATAACCCCTGACCTGACCAAACCTTGCAAAATAATGTCCTCGGAAGCACTTTATTTTCTACCTACTAGTGCATTTAAACCCTACTTTCGTCCCTCCGATCCCCTGTCCAGATACAATACATTGCCTTCTCATCCAGTGTTTTTAAACTTTTTAATCCTTGCTATCGGCCCTGCCCACTGTGATTTATTTTCTGTGTTTAATTATTGTGATTTTACATTGCTTGATGTTTATTTACAGTTTCTTGTATTTTATTTTTTATTTTTATATTTTACTGTTGTTGTATGTTGTTTATTTGCATTGCTGTATTGTTGGACTTGGCCTCGTGTAAGCCACCCCGAGTCCCCTTGGGGAGATGGTGGCGGGGTATAAATAAAGTTTAATAATAATAATATAGTTTCCTGTATTGTTGAAGGCTTTCATGGCGGAATCACTGGGTTGTTGTAGGTTTTTTCAGGCTATGTGGCCATGGTCTAGAGGCATTCTCTCCTGACGTTTCGCCTGCATCTATGGCAAGCATCCTCAGAGGTAGTGAGGTCTGTTGGAACTAGGAAAAGGGTTTATATATCTGTGGAATGACCAGTGTGGGACAAAGGACTCTTGTCTGCTGGAGCTAGGTGTGAATGTTTCAACTGACCACCTTGATTAGCATATAATGGCCTGACAGTGCCTGGAGCAAACTTTTGTTGAGAGGTGATTAGATGTCCTTGTTTGTTTCCTCTCTGTTGTTGTGCTGTTTAATTTTAGAGTTTTTTTAATACTGGTAGCCAGATTTTGTTCATTTTCATGGTTTCCTCCTTTCTGTTGAAATTGTCCACATGCTTCTGGATTTCAATGGCTTCTCTGTGTAGTCTGACATGGTGGTTGTGAGAGTGGTCCAGCATTTCTGTGTTCTCAAATAAAATGCTGTGTCCAGGTTGGTTCATCAGGTGCTCTGCTATGGCTGACTTCTCTGGTTGAAGTAGTCTGCAGTGCCTTTCATGTTCCTTGATTCGTGTTTGGGCAATGCTGGGTTTGGTGGTCCCTATGTAGACTTGTCCACAGCTGCATGGTATACGGTAGACTCCTGCAGAAGTGAGAGGATCCCTCTTGTCCTTTGCTGAACGTAGCATTTGTTGGATTTTCTTGGTGGGTCTGTAGATGCAGGTGAAACGTCACAACCACCATGTCGGACTACACAGAAAAGCCATTGAAATTACAACAGCACAACAGAGAGGAAACAAACAAGGACATCTAATCACCTCTCAACAAAAGATTGCTCCAGGCACTGTCAGGCCATTAAATGCTAATCAAGGTGGTCAGTTGAACCATTCACACCTAGCTCCAGCAGACAAGAGTCCTTTGCCCCACCCTGGTCATTCCACAGATATATAAACCCTCAAGATTATTAAGATCGTCTGGAGAGGCCCTGCTCTCGGTCCCACCGGCCTTGCAAGCGCGTCTGGTGGGGACGAGGGACAGGGCCTTCTCGGTGGTGGCCCCTCGACTCTGGAACTCTCTTCCACTGGAGATCAGAACCGCCCCATCTATCCTGACATTTAGGAAACAGGTGAAGACTTGGTTATGGAGACAGGCATTGGACGAGTGAGCCAGATATGGATGGAGGATGATGAACAATGAGTTAGTGTGATGACTGACCATTGTAGTTATTGAATGTAATTGCTGTTTTAATGTTTTACTGTAAAATGAATTATTATGTTTTTATTAACTGTATGTGATATTATGGTTGGAAACCGGTCTGAGTCTCTCAAGAGAGGTGAGAAGGCGGTATAGAAAACTTTTTAAATTGACCACCTTCAAATGCTAATGAAGGTGGTCAGTTGAAACATTCACACCTAGCTTCAGCAGAGAGTCCTTTGTCCCACCCTGGTCATTCCACAGATATATAAACCCATTGTCCTAATTCCAACAGACCTCACTACCTCTGAGGATGCTTGCCATAGATGCAGGCGAAACGTCAGGAGAGAATGCCTCTAGACCATGGCCATATAGCCCGAAAAAACCTACAACAACCCAATAGTTTCCCTTTCTGAGAACCTTTTTATACGCAGCAAGGTTTCTGCTATAACCGAAATTATGTCCACATTACAATGTTTCCGACCTGGCGCCGGCCTGCTGGAAGAGCTGGGCCCAGGCCTCGGGCAGGAAGTCCTGGGCGGTGAAGAGGGGCGCGAAGTCGGCGTAGCTGGTGCCCGGCGGGAAGCGGGCCTGGACGAAGCGCTCGTACTCGGGCCGCCCTTCGCCCCGCCAGTGCCACCAGAACCACTCCGAGCCCCAGGCCGGCACCGAGAAGACGCCCCAGTGCACGAAGACGCCCACCTTCGCCGCGTCGAACCAGCCGGGCAGCGGCCTCGAGTCTAGGCTGGCCCAGTCCGGCGTGTAGCGCTGAGGAGATGCCGCCGCGACGGAGAGAAGAGCAACAAACACCGCCCAAGCCGCCATCTTGGATTCCCTCAGAGAGGAACTCGCTTCCGCCGTGCGCATTGGCCCGCCGAATCACGTGAGGCAGCCTTCAGGAGACGTCTCGACCAATGGCCACCCACCTCAGCAGAGTCACGTGCCGACCAATAGTAGCCCCGCTCGGCGGAGTCACGTGAGGGGGCATGGCAGCCAGCTGCAAAACTCATAGAATCATAGAATCAAAGAGTTGGAAGAGACCTCATGGGCCATCTAGTCCAACCCCCTGCCAAGAAGCAGGAATATTGCATCCAAAGCACCCCTAACAGATGGCCATCTAGCCTCTATTTAAAAACCTCCAAAGAAGGAGCCTCCACCACACTCCTGAGTCTGAAACGACTTGAAAGCAGAGAGTTCCACTGCTGAAGGGCTCTCACAGTCAGGAAGTTCTTCCTCATGTTCATGTAGTTTCTTGTAGTTTCATGGCCGGAATAACTGGGTTGTTAAGATCGTCTGGGGAGGCCCTGCTCTCGGTCCCGCCGGCTTCACAAGCACGCCTGGCAGGAACGAGAGATAGGGCCTTCTCAGTAGTGCCCCCCCCGCCCGCTGTGGAACGCCCTTCCTACAGACATTAGATCGGCCCCCTCCTTATTGGCATTCAGGAAGAGAGTGAAGACCTGGCTCTTCGAAGAGGCTTTCAACGAAGCAGTGCAATGGATTGATTTCTGGAATATGGATTAATGGACAACGAGATCGGATGCTGATTCTATTGATGAGACGTGATGGATTGTTGTTTTCCTGTATTGTTGTATTGGTGTTCTGATGTTAATTAATTGATATTACTGTTTTAAATGATTAATTATTTTGTACTGTGTTGTTGATACTGGTTGTTAACCGCTCTGAGTCGCCTGATGGCTGAGAAGAGCAGTATACAAGTGAAGTAAATAAATAAATAAATAAATAAATAATTGTTGTGAGTTTTCCGGGCTGTATGGCCGTGTTCCAGAAGCATTCTCTCCTGACGTTTCACCTGCATCTCTGGCAGGCATCTTCAGAGGTTGTGAGGCCTGTTGGAAACTAGAAAATAGGGCTTATATATCTGGGTGGGAGAAAGAACTCTTGTCTGTTTGAAGTAGATGAAGGGAAGGGAAGGCTTTCCCAGATAAGTGAGGTGAACAAAATTCAAGCAGGCTCTACATGACTTTTGTGATTTAATTGGGAAATAAAGTTGCTAGACTAAACTGGACTATTGCAATGCACTCTACGTGGGGCTGCCCTTGAAGACGGCCGGAAATTTCAACTGGTACAATGGGCGGCAGGCAGGCTTCTTACTGGCGCAAACAATAGGGAGCATACAACGCCCCTAATAAAACAGCTTCATTGGCTGCCGATAAGTTGCCGAACCAAATTCAAGGTGCAGGTCATGACCTATAAAGCCCTAAACGGTTTGGGCACCGCCTATCTCTGCAATCGCATCTCATTCTATGAACCGGCAGATCTTCTGGGGAAGCCCTCCTCTCGGTCCTACCTCTGTCACAAGCATGGTTGGTGGGGACGAGAGAGAGGTCCTTCTCAGTGGTGGCCCCTTGCCTCTGGAATGCCCTTCCAAGGGAAATAAGACAGGCCCCATCCCTCCCCTCCTTTCGTAAGAACTTGAAAACCTGGTGGTTTCAACAAGCCTTTGACAATGAACAGTTCTAACTCAGTCTTGCGCAGGATTACTTTTAATATATGTGTGTTATGGTGACAATTTTATGCATATATTGTTTGGTTAATCTTATGGTTATGTTGTTTTACTTTGTATGTTTCGTGATGTTACCTAGGAACTGCTCTGAGTCCCCTCGGGGAGATAGAGCGGTATATAAATAAAGTTTATTATTATTATTATTATTATAGAGTAAAAACTAGACTTTTAATATTTAGGTAGAAGAGAGAATTTCCGGTACTGCTAGTGAAGTAACGCCTGAAATCCCTCTTTTAATAAATATTAAGGGTACGGGAACTGCCTCCAGTTTTCAGTCTGACAACCTTATTAGGAAACACACTGCAAGTCTGGGCTGCTGTGAGTTTTTATAATAATAATAATAATAATAATAATAATAATAATAATAATAATAATACTTAATTCTTTAACCCGCTCTCTCTCCCTTGAAGGGACTGAGGACGCCTTCCAAAGACAAAAATGGCAAGCATTCAATGCCGTGTGCAATGATAAAATCAAAATAAAACAGAAACAAGGAAAGAGCTAAAAGTAAACAATTAAAAATAAGCCAATAAAACAACCTAGGCTAAAACATGTAGTCGATCAACCTCATAAATAACACAACAGGCTGATAAAAGCTGTATAAAATATACAAATATTAAAACGTGTGTTTCCAATAAGTAATGTAATCACAGCACCACCCAAGCTGTATGACCTTGTTCCAGAAACATTCTCTCCTGACGTTTTGCCCACATCTATGGCAGGCATCCTGAGAGGTTGTGAGGTAAGTAGGCAAACCGCTCCGAGCCTTCGGGGAGTGGCGGTATATAAAATTGATAAATAAATAAATAAAATAAGTGAGGTTGGAATAATGTCCAGGGTGGGAAAAAGAACTCTTGTCTGCTTGAGGCAAGTGTGAGTTCTTTCTTCTACCCTGGACATTATTCCACAGATATATAAATCCCACTTGCCTAGTTTCCAATAGACCTCACAACCTCTCAGGATGCCTGCCATAGATGTGGGTGAAACGTTAGGAGAGAATGCTACTGGAACATGGCCATACAGCCCAGAAAACTCACAGCAACCCAGTGAAAGCTGCTTCTGGGGTACCTTCTAACAGCAACACTAGAATGTCTATTGTATATGTATGTATGTATGTATATATATATATATATATATATATATATATATATATATACGCACACATACATATCATATTTATTGTATTGTATTACATCTCTCCACCTCTGGAACTCCCAAAGTAACAGAAGGTTTCTCATTGTTTTTTGAAAGAGAGCAAGGACCTTCTTATGATCGCAAGCATATAGAGAGGACGATATATGAGATATTCAACAAAAACAAAATGGAATGAAATATGGAAATGGCTGTTACTCTAGTTCAGGGGTCCTCAAACTATTGCCCGGGGGCTGGATATGGCCCTCCAAGGTCATTTACCTGGCCCTCGCTCAGGGTCAACCTGAGTCTGAAACGACTTGAAAGCACACAACCATAACAATAATCCTATCTCGTCAGCCAAAAGCAGGCCCACAGTTCCCATTGAAATACTAATAAGTTTATATTTGTTAAACTTCTACTTCATTTTAATTATTGTATTGTTTTAAGTGGTTTTTGAACTACAAATAAGATATGTTCATGTTTTTTTCAAATTATAATCCGGCCCTCCAACAGTTTGAGGGACTGTGACCTTGCCCTCTGTTTAAAAAGTTTGAGGACCCCTGCTCTAGCTTTTCAATTTTGCTGAGCTTGTTGATCGAAAGGTCGCGGGTTCGATTCCGGGGAGCGGCGTGAGCTTCCGCTGTCAGCCCTAGCTTCTGCCAACCTAGCAGTTCGAAAACATGCAAATGTGAGTAGATCAATAGGTACCGCTCCGGCGGGAAGGTAACGGCGCTCCATGCAGTCATGCCGGCCACATTACCTTGGAGGTGTCTACGGACAACGCTGGCTCTTCGGCTTAGAAATGGAGATGAGCACCACACCCCAGAGTCAGACATGACTGGACTTAATGTCAGGGGACTACCTTTACCTTTACCTATAAAACTTTTATTCATGTCAATTTTAAGTCTGGCTTTTAAATAGTTTATTAGTTAAAATGTAATATTTTAGTTCTGTGATGTCTAATTTGTTGCAATGATTTATCATTGCTCAATGTCGATGTTTAATGTGCTATTATGTATTTGTTTTATGGTAATTTATCTGTTTGTTGTTTACATTTTACAGCACTAAATGTAAACAGGTTGTTAACTGCCCTGAGTCCCCACTGGGGAGATAGGGGGGATAGAAATAGTTGTTGTTGTTATTATTATTATTATTATTATTATTATTATTATTATTTGTTATATTATATATTTTGATTTAATTTATTTATTTTAAATTAATTACAATATTTTTTTTAAGTTGTAACCTTTGGAAAACTCAATTAAAATGGGGAAAGAAGAGGAATAGGTATGACTATTTAAACAAACCCTCAACCCAATAAAATCAAAACTGTCAAGAGGGAGTTTCAATAGCTTGCAGAGCAACCCCTGTATTCAAGGGGGTCATGATGGGGAACTTAGAACCCCATAGTATAAACACAGTTGTAAATGAAAGCAAATTAATAAGGAGTAGATATTATAAATGGAAAAGGAAAGGGGGAAAAAAAACCCAAGACAGAGGTCCTCTTGGTCAGTCGAAAGGCCGAACAGGGTGTAGGGTTACAGCCTGTGCTGGATGAGGTTACACTACCCCCGAAGTCACAGGGTCGCATCTTGGGAGTCCTCCTGGATTCATTGTTGAGCCTGGAACCCCAGATTTTGGCGGTGGCCAGGGGGGCTTTTGCACAATTAAAACTTGTGCGCCAGCTGTGCCCATACCTTGGGAAATCTGACTTGGCCACGGTGGTCCAAGTTCTGATTATATCCTGTATAGATTACTGCAATGTGCTCTACATGGGGTTGCCTTTGAAGACTGTTCAAAAGCTTCAACTGGTCCAACAAGCGGCAGCCAGGTTGCTCACTGGAGTGGCATTCAGGAAGCACACAATTCCTCTGTTACGTCAGCTCCACTGGCTGCCAGTCCACTACTGAGCGCAATTCAAAGCGCTGGCTTTAGCCTATAAAGCCCTAAACAGTTCTGGCCCAGTCTACCTGTCTGAATGTATCTCCCCCTACAAACCGGCTCGGAGACGAAGATCATCTGGAGTGGCCTGCTCTTGGTTCCACCTTCTTCGGAAGTGTGGCTGGTGGGAACGAGAGACAGGGCCTTCTCAGTGGTGGCCCCTTGATTGTGGAACTTCCTCTCTAATGACATCAGATCAGCCCCCTCCCTCCCAGCCTTCAGAAGAAGAGTAAAAACCTGGTTCTGGGAGCAGGATTTCACAAAATAGGGCAGTGCAGTAATTTTAATGTGGAATATGTGCAATTGATCATAGAATGGCCTTAGACTTTGATCCCTTGATGGTGTGTTTCAACCTTGAATCTATTTTAATCATGTTATTGTGTTAGTAATTTTAATCTAAATTATTTTAAGTGAATATTGTATGTTTTGAGGCACTGTATAGGTGCCATTTGTAAGTTGCCTTTAGTTCCCCTCGGGGTAGAGAAAGGGATATAAATAAAGTAAATAAATACATATTCCCATCTATTCTTCATAATTTATTGTAATATCATATGCAGGAAGAGACACCTTTGCCCAGATAAATCCAAAGTATCAGGAGGTGATTGCATTTCTTAGAAAAGACAGAGGGAAGGAAATACAAAAACTATCTAGCCCAGTCACCACCATCCAGGAATGTATAACAGTTTTGTTTTAAAACTCAAAGGCATAGCCATGTTAATCTGGAATATCAGTGTGGAAAGGGATTTTGCAGTACTTTAGGTTTACACTGCCATATAATGCACCTTAAACTGCATTATTGGGCAGTGTAGATCAAGCCTATGACACTGAGAGAAAAACGTTTATAGCATTAGCATTCATTGACTAAGGCTAGTTCTTCACTGCAGAAGATGCAGTCTTCTCAATGCTCAATGCTGTGGAATTAAGGAAGCTGGAGTTTGGTGAGGCTTCAGCATTCCTCCAGAGAAAGTTAAAGACCTAGTAAAGCTACAACTCCCATGATTCTAGAGCAGGTATGTTCAAACTTTGGCCTTCATGGTATTTTGGACTTCGGCTCCCACAATTCCTAACAGCTTCAGACCCAGAAGGGGCCTGAGGCTGTTAGGAATTGTGGAAGTTGAAGTCCAAAACACTAGGAGAGCATTGAGCCATGTTAAAAAAAAAAGATGACGGGAAGGAGGCAGAGGAAGAAATCCAATACTACAACTCAATATCCCCTCAGCAGAGCATGAATATACATATGTGAAGATAAGGTACACCAGTACTATCCAACCCTTATGCAAAATAGCAATATTGCACAACATCAATCAATTACTAAGTGGTTTTGTGCACGGTGAAATGGCAATCTGCAATGCGCAATGACACTGAACGGCATTGCCTTATGTACTACCCTGCTCCCATTCCTGTTAGCAGCATATGTTTAAAATTCATTCCATGTCTATATTGTGACTACATGGATATTTTTCTACCAAGACGCCACCCAGCCATTGTCTTTCCTGGAATCTCCCAGCAGCACCAGTTTGCCATTTTTAAAAGTTTGCAGGGTGCTTCTGAAGGTTTAACATCAAATACTGTAGTACCAATTTATCCAAACCAGAAATTGACTTCTGGCCACTTTCAAAGTATTTCCTTCTCTGTATTCTGGCATTTCTACAATCCATGCAGAGTGTCCGGGGCAACTTCATCTCCAGTTCCACCAGATCGGTAGTAAATATGCTTGGAAGTCTTTTCAGATGGGAAGAGAAAACATCCATTTCTACAATGCTTCCATTTTGTCACCTTCTGAAGCTTGGGTCTTTGTGGAACTGCCGACAAATCTGTCCCCTATGTTTTCGAACGGCAAGGTCTTCTGAGTGCTTTCTGCATCAGGATTGCTATCTGAGATGTCAGTTTTTCTTCTGAAATTGGTGCAAACTTTCCTCAGAGCAGAGCTCAACTCCCTGCTTCGTAGGGCATAGATGGCCGGGTTCACCATGGAGTTGACCAGGCAGAGGGTGCTGCAGAAGGCAAACACTCTCTTCAAGGAGGTGTCCATTTTGGCAAAGATGCTGTATGTCATGAGAGCCATGGCCGGGGTCCAGCAGGTGACAAGGACAAGCAGGACAATGGCTAAGGTCTTGGCCAACTTAATGTCTAGCCTCATCTTGCTTTTGGTTTGGCCGTTGGGTCTGTGATGCTTCTCCATGTATGCAACATGTTGCCGGGCTTTCCATAAGACATGTCCGTAGGCATAGATAATGGATACCAGAAGGACCGCCACGAAGCTTGCCCAGCTCAGAAGGTAATTGTTGTCCACAAAAGGAAAGAGCTCGGAGCAGGGAGAGTTGAGTCTGCAGCAGTTCCATCCAAATAGAGGTAAGGAGGCAAGGAAAGCAATGGAGAGCCACAGGACTACCAAAGCCACCAGGGCTCTTTTACTAGTCACCAGGACCTTGTACGTCGAGGGTTTGAGGATGCAGATGTATCGATCAAAAGCCATCAGCAAGAGGCTGCCGAGGGAAGCTGTGAAGGTGGTGTTGACGCCTCCTAGCTTGAGTAAAAAGACCACCATGGAGTCGGCCCCTCTGAAAATGTGAAACTGGAGGAAGCTCCAGACGAAGATGAAGCTGGCCAAGGTGTCAGCCAAGGCGAGGCTGCCAAGGAAAAGGTAAGAAGGCTTCCTGCGGATCTTTGGGGAAGAAAAGATGAGGTAGAGTACCAAGGTATTCTCCAATACGCAGAGGGTCCCGGCAGTGCAACACAATGTGGCGATGAGGGCCTGTGATGTGTTGTTGAGCACCAGGTAGCACTCCAGAGGCACTATGTTGGAGTGGCATCTCAAGACGTCCCCCGCCGTCGTGTTCACCTTGCATTGCTCCATCGTGGTGGACTTAGGCCGTCTTTGGAAAGGGGTTGGCAGTCTTGGCTACAGAGTGATGGGAACTGGAGGAATTTAAATATATATTAATGAGGACAATGTGCAGTAGTGAGTATCAATACAATCATATGCTGTACTCCCTTCCAACCTGGATGCACTGTAAAAACCCAATCTATCATACCCTTCAACTAGCCTCATTTGGCATGGACAGTCCTGTCTATTCTGTCCCCATGCTATTTAACATCTACATGAAACCGGTGGGAGAGGTCATCCGGAGTTTTGGAGTGTGGTCTTTTCCACCAGATTCCAAGGAAGCCCCTTGGATACTGGACCAGTGCCTGGCTGCTGTGGCAACCTGGATGAGGAAGAGCAAGCTGAGGATCAATCCTGACAAGACAGAGATCCTCCAGGTCAGTCGCTTGGCTGATCGGGGTATTGGGTGGCAACCTGTGCTGGACGGGGTTGCACTCCCCCTGAAATCACAGGTCTGCAGTTTGGGTGTCCTCCTGGACTCAGCGCTGACACTCGATGCGCAGGTGTCGGCAGTAGCCGGGAGGGCCTTCGCACAACTAAAACTCGTGCGCCAGCTGCTACCTTACCTCGTGAAGTCTGACTTGACCATGGTAGTCCATGCCTTAGTTACCTCTAGACTGGACTACTGTAATGCTCTCTATGTGGGGCTACCCTTGTCCGGAAACTACAACTTGTCCAACATTCGGCAGCCAGATTAATAACTGGGGCAACCTTAAACATGGGAGCGGTCAACCCCCGTATTTAAGGAGCTCCACTGGCTGCCGTTTATTTTCCGGTCCCAATTCAAGGTGCAGGTTATCACCTACAAAGCCCTAAACTGTTTGGGACCCGTCTACCTTGTGACCGTATCTCCCGTCATGAACCATCTTGGGCCCTCCGATCCTCCGGGGAGGCCCTTCTCTTGCCCCTGCCAGTCTCTCAAGCTCGTCTAGTAAGTACAAGGGAGAGAGCCTTTTCTGCTGTGGCTCCCTGACTCTGGAACTCACTGCCTGGAGAAATTAGGAAAGCCCCTTCCCTTGAGGTCTTCAAAAAGAACCTTAAAACCTGGCTCTTCCACTGTGCCTTTGATGAGTAGGTATATAATTCCACATGATTGCTCTGACTCAGGGTTCTGTCATTGGAGTATACGTCCCCCCTCATGGGAAAGCTTCCTTCCACAACTCCCACTGGAATGAGCCCTCTTCCGTAAATTACCTGCTTCCCTCTTTTATCTCGCCTGACTTTTTAATTAGTTTTAATCAGTTTGTCTTCCTGATTACTACATGTCGCCCGCCCATTATTATAGTGCCTGTGCATATTTTTTATTTTTCATATTGTTATGTATTCATGTGTTTTATTTCATTATGATGTTGTTGTTTATTGTTCGCGTTTTCGGTTTGTGTTTTGGTTTTCTTTATTGTAATTGTTGTTTGGGCTTGGCCTCATGTAAGCCGCTCCAAGTCCCCATTGGGGAGATGGTGGCGGGGTAACAAATAAAGTTTATTATTTATTATTATAATCCTCTGGCATTCCAATTTCTCAGTTGCTTTGAAAATGTTTCTTTTTTCCCTCCTCACATTTCCCCCCTTAGTTCTTGGTTCATGTCGGTTGCACCAACTAAGTTCAAATCTAAATGTAGTCAATTCACTCTTCAGGGAAGGGAGAGTGGCTGCCACTTTTTCTCTTTCCATCCTTGTTGACAGGCTCGCAAGTGATCTACAGCATGATTTTCTTTTTCTTTTAGGCTAATTTCAGTTTATTTTTGGTGTTTGGGGGTGGAGAATGTGTGTTACGATGACCTTATGGACATAGGAGGGGAAATCACTGGGTTTGATCTGAGCTTTGATCTCTTTAAGAGCATAATAGTCAACAGAGCTACCAATAGTAACAGGTGGTATTGTGTCATACTACTATATACGCGGACTGTAGGGAACTATTAGTGGTGGGGAAACAATACAGTATTTATTTATTGTGTCAGGGGCAACCAGACCAACAATACAGTGACTCCATAGAAACAAAAGGTATTCTAATGGGGAAGTGGTTGCTATTTGGCTTCCTGTTTTCACACGTTCGCATTTTTCAAACATTTGTAAAAGGTATTTGGGGAACCTAGGTTAAGAAAACTCATCATCCTTTAAGAGGCTGTGCTCCTAGCTGTGAACTTAAAGACTGCAACATGCCAGCATCAGTCATCTTTCACTAAAATAAGAGTGATATACGCTGAGACCTAAATAGAGAAAGTGCAGCATAATAGAAGGTATTTCAACATTCTAATCTTTGTAGGAAAGGGGCAGGAATATCGCCTCAAATAATATGCACTTGTTATTGGTATTTTATACCTCCCTTCCATCATATTGCTGAGTTGGTTAACAATGTGGTGAAGTTTACATTCTATATTATATTCTAACTAGTCGTCCCCTGCCACACGTTGCTGTTGATCTGGAAAATAAAGTAATGAGAAAATGTTGGTTTCTAATATATGTAATTTCTTTATGCTTGAGGGTAAACAGCATTTCTTGTTGTTTCTTTGTCAGTGTTGATGTGGAGACTGTCTGGTTTGCCTACTATGGTTCATGCAACATATAATCATACTTCTTTAAGGGTCCCTTTCAAATCTATGATACTATATCTGTGTGTGTGTGAATCATATCTATCTATCTATATCTATGGCTGGATGGCTCTTTGTCAGGAGGACTTTGATTACGTTTTCTTGCCCTGATGAAGGAGTTTGATTGGATGGCCTTAAGTATTTTCTGTTGGTCACTGGGGTTCTGTGTGGGAAGTTTGCCCCGATTCTGTCGTTCGTGGGGTTCAGAATGCTCTTTGATTGTAGGTGAACTGTGAATCCCAGTGACTACAACTCCCAGATGTCAAGGTCTATTTCCCCCAAACGCCATCTGTGTTCATATTTGGGTATATTGAGTATCCATGCCAAGTTTGGTCCAGATCCATCATTGTTTGAGTCCACAGTGCTCTCTGGATGTAGGTGAACTACAACTCCCAAACTGAAGGTCAATGCCCCCAAACCCTTCTAGTGTTTTCTATTGGTCATGGAAGTCCTGTGTGCCATGTTGGGTTCAATTCCATAATTGCTGGAGTTTAGAATGGTCTTTGATTGTAGGTGAACTATAAATCCCAGTAATTACAACTCCCAAATGTCAAGGTCTATTTCTGCCAAACTCCATCTGTGTTCATATTTGGGCATATGGAATATTCATGCCAAGTTTGGTCCAGATCTATCATTGTTTGAATCCACAGTGCTCTCTGGATGTAGGTGAACTACAACTCCCAAACTCAAGGTCAATGCCCCCCAAACCCTTCTAGTGTGTTCTATTGGGCATTGGAGTCCTGTGTACATCATTTGGTTCAATTCCGTAATTGGTGGAATTTAGAATGGCCTTTGATTGTAGGTGAACTATAAATCCCAGTAACTACAAATCCCAAATGTCAAGGTCTATTTCCCCCAAACTCCATCTGTGTTCATATTTGGGCATATGGAATATTCATGCCAAGTTTGGTCCAGATCCATTATTGTTTGAGTCCACAGTGCTCTCTGGATGTAGGTGAACTACAACTCCCAAACTCAAAGTCAGTGCCCACCAAATCCTTCTAGTGTTTTCTATTGGGCATGGAAGTCCTGTGTACCATGTTGGGTTGAATTCCATAATTGGTGGAGTTCAGAATGCTCTTTGATTGTAGGTGAACTATAACTCCCAGCAACTACAACTCCCAAATGACAAAATCATAATTTTTTGAGTGATGGTCACTCCTTGTGTAGTGAGACGTTTTGTTGCCAAATTTGGTGTGATTTCATTCATTGGTTCTTTTGTTTTTAAGGTACTCATTATGCACAGACCATTTATATATATATAGATTTAGCAGCTCACCAGTAACTTTCCTGTCCCTACTTGAAGTTCCGCACTTTACATCGGCATATGATCTACCTCAACATGTGTTATGACAGTATTTCCTGCCCAGTTTACTGGATTGTTGCACTTTCCTGTGCTCCTGTAAAAATTATTGCACTCATTGAATCTGTACCTCAGCTATGTTTCTTCTGGACATATTGTTTTTATATTGCTTTCAATTGTGTTGTATTTGTTTTATCTGATGTTTTAATTGGTTAAAGTGTTTTAATTGTAATTTTATTTATTATTTATTTATTTATTTATTTATTATTTGCACTTATTGACCGCCACTCTCAGCCCGAAGGCGACTCGTGGCGGTGTACAAAACATAGAACATACAGACGACAGTTACAGTAATCAGGTCCATAACACAACATCTTACTAACATACAACTACTTAACTAAAAATCCGCTTCGTCTTGTTTGGGTCATAATCGGTCTCATAGTCATAATCCATTCCGGTGGTCATTCCAAAACATAGCACTTAATTGAAGGCCTTTTCAAAGAGCCAAGTTTTCAGGCCCTTGCGGAAGGCCATGAGGGAAGGCGCCTGTCTAATTTCGGCAGGGAGGGCGTTCCATAGCCGGGGGGCCACCACCGAGAAGGCCCGCTCTCTAGTCCCCGCCAAGCGTGCCTGTGAGGCAGGCGGGACCGAGAGAAGGGCCTCCCCGGATGATCTCAAGGTCCTCGTGGGCTCGTAGGCCGAGATGCGGTACTCAAGGTATTTTGGGCCGGAACCGTTTAGGGCTTTGTAGGTTAGCACCAGCACCTTGAATTGGGCCCGGTAGCTGATCGGCAGCCAGTGGAGCTGGGACAGCAAGGGCGTTGTGCGCTCCCTGCGTCCCGCTCCGGTTAACAACATGGCTGCCGCGCGCTGGACTAGCTGGAGCTTCCGGGCCGTCTTCAAGGGCAGCCCCACGTAGAGAGCGTTGCAGTAGTCGAGGCGGGATGTGACCAAAGCGTGTACCACCGTGGCCAAGTCAGACTTCCCAAGATACGGGCGCAGCTGGCGCACGAGCCGAAGCTGTGCAAAAGCTCCCCTGGTCACCGCTGAAACCTGGGGATCCAGGCTCAGCGCTGAATCCAGGGTCACCCCCAAGCTGCGAACCTGCGCCTTCAAGGGGAGTGCGACCCCGTCCAGCACAGGCTGTAACCCTATACCCTTTTCGGCCTTGCGACTGACCAGGTGTCCCTTGTAAGCCGCCCTGAGTCCCCTAGGGGAGATGGTTGGTGGGGTATAAAAATAAAATTTATTTATTTATTTATTTATTTATTTATTTATTTATTTCTGACATTTATATTCCTCCCTTCTCACCCCAAAGGGAACTCAGAGGAGCTTACAAGTTATATGAACACACAATATATTATATTATTAGTACAGAACACTATTCGTATTATATATTACTGTATTGTACTATACCACTGTACTGCAATATTATTAGTAATATTACATCTATATAAATAAAAATGTAATGTTCGTTTGTGGGATTAACAGAACTCAAAAACCACTGGACGAATTGACACCAAATTTGGACACAAGACACCTAACAACCCAATGTATGTCCTTCACTCAAAAAAATTGATTTTGTCATTTGGGAGTTGTCGTTGCTGGGATTTATAGTTCACCTACAATCAAAGAGTATTCTGAACTCCACCAATGATGGAATTGAACCAAACATGGCATACAGGACTTCCATGACCAACAGAAAACATTGGAAGGGTTTGGTGGGCATTGACCTTGAGTTTGGGAGTTGTAGTTCACCTACATCCAAAGAGCACTGTGGACTCAAACAATGATGGATCTGGACCAAACTTGACAGGAATACTCCATATGCCTAAATATGAACACATATGGAGTTTGGGGGAAATAGACCTTGATGTTTGGGATTTGTAGTTACTGGGATTTGTAGTTACTGGGATTTACAATCAAAGAGCATTCTGAACCCCACCAATGACAGATTTGGGGCAAACTTCCCACACAGAACCCCCATGACCAACAGAAAATACTTAAGGCCATCCAGACCAACTCTCTTCACCAGGGCAAGAAAATGTAATCAGAGCCCTCCTGACAAAGACCCTTCCAGCCATAGATATAGATAGATATGATTCACACACAGACACACACACACACACATAGTATCATAGATTTGAAAGAGACCCTTAAAGAAGGACTATGATATGTTGCATATTCCAGAGTAGGCAAACAAGACACTCTCCACATCAACACTGACAAAGAAACAACAAGAAATACTGTTTACTCACAAGCATAAAGGAATTACATATATTAGAAACCAACACTTTCTCATTACTTTATTTTCCAGATCACGAGACTGGGCCACAGCAACACGTGGCAGGGGACAGCTAGTGTAATATATAATATTTAATTGTTATATTATTATATTTTATTATTGGTATTATATTATACTACAATAGTATGATTAATACTATATGTACATACAACACACTATAATTATTAGCATAGCACAATACTAGTATTACTTGGATTGCATATTCTTGCATGGCAGAGGGTTGGAGTGGATGGCCTTTGGGGGGTCTCTTCCACCTCTTTGATTAAATTCTGCTTTGAGTCTCCGTATGGAGAGAAAAAGTGGGATATAAAAATAAACCTTATTATTATTATTATTATTATTATTATTATTATTATTATTATTATTAATGTGACTTCCCTTTCGCCGGTCAAGCAATGCTTGTTTGCAAACTACCGCTCAACCTTAAATGAATTACTCACGAGTGTCCAAATAACTTGCAACAGAGAAACAAAGACAGGAACCAGATGCTGTGGCAGACCCAGATGCCAATGAGGTTGTCATGCAAACTCTGTAAACATCATTACTGCAGGAAAGGCTTCTGCCACTTTCTCCTCGGTTCACTTAAGGTGAAGCCATGCTTCAATGCTGCCCAAACTGCCTGAGGATCTACAGATCCCCCTGAAATTGTCTCAAGGAAATAGACCTTGGTGCCTGCATGGAAAATCGGATTATATTGGGCACATATTATTATTATTATTATTATTATTATTATTATTATTATTATCATCCCCCGCCTCTCCTCATGGCTCGAGGTGGGTTACAGAACAATTAACACTCAAAAACACTGCAAAATACACATATTAAAACATACCTCTATAAAAACTACATACCAAAACATATCTCTATAAATTATGACCGTGAGAGCCGTTCAGCAGTGGAACTCTCTGCCCCGGAGTGTGGTGGAGGCTCCTTCTTTGGAAGCTTTTAAACAGAGGCTGGATGGCCATCTGTCAGGGGTGATTTGAATGCAATATTCCTGCTTCTTGGCAGGGGGTTGGACTGGATGGCCCATGAGGTCTCTTCCAACTCTTTGATTCTATGATTCTATATATTAAAATACACAAAATAGTGATACACTGTAGAATGAATGCAGTTTGGCACCACTTGCTCTGCCATGGCTCAATGGTATAGTATCACAGGAGTTGTAGTTTTACAAAGCCTTTTTTTGCCAAAGGGTGCTGGTGCCTCACCAAACTACAAATCCCATGGCTCCACAAAATGGAGCCATGCCAGTTAAAGTGGTGTCAAACTGCATTCATTCGACAGTGTAGATGCATCCTTATACAGGTTCTAAAAGAGCTAAAATACCCTAAGTGCATAAATCACTTCTGATCTTGGAAGCTAAGCAGGCTCAGCCCTGGTTAGAACTTGGATGGGAAGCCACCAGAGAATGCCAAGTGCTGGAGGCTGTATTTGGGAGGAAGGAACTGATAAAACTACCTCTGAATATTCTTTGCTTAAAAACCTTATGAAATCCATGGGGTTGTCATAAAATAGGAAGGAACTTGAAGGCACACATGTATTTCAGAGGAAAGAACTGGCAAAACCACTTCTGAGTATCCCTTTCCTAAGAAGATCCTGCGAAATGCATGGGGTCACTATAAGCTGGCACATGACTTGAAAGCGCATGTGCCCAAATAGTTAGGAACCAGGCATGTAGCCGGGGGAGGGGGGGGAACTTGAGGGGCTTCAGCCCCCCCCCCCCCCGAAATTCTCATGGTGGTCTGCGAGAAGGCCTTACTGGTACATTATTTAAACTGTTATGTTTATTCATATCATGATCTGATCACCATGCTCAATATATATTATTTATTTATTTATTTACCTTACTTATATACCGCTGTTCTCAGCCCGAAAGCGACTCACAGCGGTTCACAACAAATACGAACAGCAAAAATTCAGTGCTACAGTATAGAAACAGTTAACAACCTAACACATTACACAATTAATAAACAGTTACTACAATACCCATTCACTGTCGTCTCGTCATCAAAAACATGTTCCAGATTTGTCATCCATTGTTCCATTCCAGTGTTCATTAACCAATCATTGCACTAATTATTCGAACGCCTGCTCAAACAGCCAGGTCTTCACTTTTTTGTGGAATACCATTAGAGATGGTGCTAGTCCAGGGGTAGGGAACCTTTGGCCCTCCAGCTGTGGTGGACTTCAACTCCCACAATTCCTTGAGGCTCGGCATTGGGCCAAGGTAAGCCTTTGGGGCGAATGCCGAGCCTCAAGGAATTGTGGGAGTTGAAGTCCACCACAGTTGGAGGGCCAAAGGTTCCCTACCCCTGTGCTAGTCTAATGTCCGTAGGAAGGGCGTTCCACAGCCGAGGAGCCACCACCGAGAAGGCCCTATCTCTCGTCCCCGCCAGCCGAGCTTGAGAAATATATCCCATATGCATGGGGGTATTGGGGTAACAATACAAAAGGTTTGCTAGGGTAGACCCTCTTTGCACTCAGACTCACCCCCCCCCCCCCCGAATCAAACTCCCCCCCCCCCCCCCCAAATCAAAATCCTGGCTACGGGCCTGGTAAGAACCAATGGTTGGATTAAGATTCTGTAAGACCAATTCCCACTCAGCCACAGACCCACTGGGCAAGACTTTAAAAAGAGTGCTGTATGTTTTTTTTTTAAGTATATTTTAAAAACTGCTTTTAGATTATGTTTTAAATTGATTTCCTCTGGTTGTTTCATTCCATTTTGACTTTCTACACATTTTAACTATATTGTCATTATTTTAATTTGTAAGTCACAGACCCTCCAACTGGAATAAACTGGGACAGTGAATCCTTGTGGTCCATTTTCCCTTTTGAAAGTTGTCGCTCGATAAAGGGCCAGCTCTATTGGGGAGTCACCTACATCTTCATGAAAGTTGGGTACAAAGTATGGTATTATTATCATTGCAGAATCAATGCAGTTTGAAACCACTTGTACTGCCGTGGCTCAATGGTGTGGAATCATGGGAGCTGTAATTTTACAAGTTCTTTAGCTAACAGTGCTGGGGCTTCACTCCAACTCCCAGGCCTCCATAACACCGAGTCAAGGCTGTTTAAGTGGTATCAAACACCATGCATTCTACAGTGCAAGTGTACCCGTGGTCTTCAAATCTATTTGCAAAACCTATGGAGTTGTCCTTTTATTCCATGCATTCGGTGATGCTTTGCTAATGCAAGATTATGTAACTTCTTTGACATTGCATGACTTCAAGTCCTTTCCAGTTTATGGCAACCCCAAGCTTTCAGTAGCTCGCTTGTAAACTATGCAACATGCCCCAAAGGACTTACCTGTGTGACTTCACGCAGCTCCTTCACCTGTCCCAAGTTGCAGGAAAGCTGTCCAGTTGCAGGACAAAAAGCAAGGACCTGTAGAAATGTACTGTCTGGAGAAGAGAAACCACAAAGCATACACCATGGTGGGAAGGAGGACCGCAGGAGGCACGGTGGCGTCTGCCTGTCCTGGCTGCCTTCAATGCTGGAGGTTTCCCAAGAGTTGCGTCTGGTTCGTGATGATGTCTGGCTTCCTCTGAGCGAGGGAGGAAGGCGCAAGCCGCTCTTGTGACAAGGCAAGGAACCAAAGAAGCAGAAGGCTGTTCAGCTGGCATCACAAAGGGCATGGAAAGGAAGAAGAAGGGGACGATGAGATGATGATAATTATCATCATCTGCTTGGAAAGGGTGACGGTGATGACCATGGTGGTAATGAAGATGGAAAGGAGGATGATAATCACCACCATCTCCCTTTACATGTACTTTGTGATTCCAGCCAGGCAACTTCTGTTTGGAGGAGAAGATGATGATGATGATGATGATGATGATGATGATGATGATGATGATGATGGAAAAGGATAATGATGATCACCATGTCCTTTTCCGTGCTTGTTCTGACACCAGCCAGGCAATCTTCTGTTTTGAAAGGGAGATCAACATCATCATCATCATCATCATCTCCCTTTCCATGCCCTTCGGGATTCCAGGTGGTCAACCTTCTTCTTTGGCCCCTCTCTTGCCATAATTGATGTTATTTCATTTATAGGTTGTGTTCTGTCGCGCGCTGGGCCTGTAACAGCTGTACTTTTCTATAGGACGTATACTTTAAGCCCAGCGGGAAGCCAGGGGCGCCTCAAAGAGAGGTTCTCAGGGATTTTTCTGAAGTGATGGTCTTTAGAGTCTTTAAAGATTTATTTATTTATTTATTTATTTAGGATACTTCTACCCCGCCCTTCTCAATCCCCGAGGGGGGACTCAGGGCGGCTTACAAAAAGGCACAATTCGATGCCTGCACAGTAATACAGATAAAAATATAGACAGCAATTAAAACAGTTTCGACAGTTAAAACAATCAATATACATCACAATCAATACAACAAAGTCTTTATTATGGAACAAACAACAAATCTTCAATGGTTCAAACAACACTTCAAGGCTTTCTTAGTCTAGTCCTCAATGGACTGGTACCTGACTTTAATTAACTGTACTTTCTCTGTAGGAAAAACCCTTTTTAACCTCTCCCAGGCTGTTTACTATCTATGACTCATTGGTGTGGGTCCTACTATCGATTCCAAATGCGTCTGGGTATCGAGTAGATCTACCAGCCGAGGCTTGTAGATATTTCAGCTGGAGTTCCGTGGATCTGTAGTGTTGTCCTCCCTCAGAGAAATCTTTGAAAACTTCAGGGCTGTTTTCCCTCTGATTGCTGTGAGGCTGAGAGGCTGTGAGCTCTCAGCTAGAGCCTTGGGGCCTTTTCCCTGGAATTTCTGTCCCTGGATGTTCTTTAGAAAATAAGCTTTTCTACGGGACGAGCTGGTCTACGTCCTATAGTTTAGCTTCCTTATGTGAGACTGACTAAAAAATGGCTCCTTTCCCTCCCAGAGCCCTGAACAAGGGGCGGAACCAAAGCTTAATTGTGATGGACAGGAGGCCTGCCCTATAACTGCAAACACATAACAGAAAGAAAATAAAGTTGGAGCTCCTGGTACAGTCGTACCAGCACAGGTTGCCTTTCTCCCAGAAGAACAGCAAGTGAAACAACATTTATAGTCACCCATCCTTATTTACAGTTTTGGCTTTTCAAACCTGGTCATTTAGATTTGATTAAATATGTTATTTTGGGGGATCTCTATCCCACTAGTGCGACCTGACTAGATATTTCTTAACTTCCTGGAGGGTTCGTAGGAAGAGATGCGTTCAGATAGGTAGGCTGGGCCAGAACCGTTTAGGGCTTTATAGGCTAAAGCCAGCACTTTGAATTGGGCCCGGTAGCAAACTGGCAGCCAGTGGAGCTGATGCAGCAGATGAGTTGTGTGCTCCCTGAGCGCCGCTCCTGTTAGCAACTTGGCTGCTGCACGCTGAACCATTTGAAGCTTCCGGGCCGTCTTCAAAGGCAACCCCACGTAGACACATATTATGTATTTCATGATTTCCTCGTGGCAGAGGCTTCCCCCCACCCCCCATTTTACCTTTTTCCCCTTCTCCTCATGAAGAAATCTCCCCAGGAAACTGCAGAGCCCAGGCATTCACTAAAGAACTTTAATCCAGAATTTCCTTTGCATGAACAATATCCTGGCGGCTGCCCTTTGTTCTTGGAGGATCGCTCAACAAAGTTGCCGTCCCCTGGCAAAACTTTAATCATTTTTCTACCTGGAGGTCAGGGGACCTTCGAAAAGCCCCCACCTTCACACTGGTTGATTTAATTAACTTCCCACTAAGGAACATTCACCCCAGTTTCGCCCTCATGTTTAGTGTTGACAAAAGACCCGGACCTTTCTTTGTTTGTGTTGATTCGCTCCAATCATGAAACAATAGGTTGGCCCTGCTTGAGACTTTGAGTATCGCGGGGTCCTCTTGGCAAACCCATTTTTTCACAACCCATTCATAAATCCTATTGTGTTCCATTGTCCCACCTCTCTCTCTCCTGATTCATCGCCACCGCCAGATGGCAGAAGCTCCCTGATAGGTTCCAACGCGCCGCTGAAGCTTCCTATTGGTCCTGAGGGGCGGGAGGCGGGAGAGCCGCCTCCCAACTGTTAGCCCATCAGCCAATCACAACAGAGACTGGTGGGGAGGCGGGAGTGGGAGTTTTGAACTTTGCAACTCTGTATTTCCTATAAATATGGCTGTATTGATGTATTTCCTTATGCTCTGCTGGCGAATGATTGCGGCTCTGCATCCTTTTCAGCTGAATTGCTAATAAAAGCCTTGGTGGCCATTTCTTCAACCTTGGTGAGATTTATTTGGGAAAAATCAGGGAAAATTCTGGGCCTTTCTCCTCTTTCGCTTGCCAAGGGTTTCGGACTCTCTTTGGTGGGTCTAAGGGCTCCTCCCTCCTGGGCAGGAGCCAACAAATTCTAGCTCAATATCAAAATCAGTTTTTAGACTTGGGTCTCAACAATAAAATATCTCATTATGTATAGACAAACCTTCCAAAATCTGAAAACATCCAAAATACGGAGAACTTCTGGACTCAAACATTTTGGAAACAGGATGCTCAACCTGTACTTGAAAGGCATGCAGATAAAAATATGAACAGGCTACCTAATTGTATGCTTAGATTTGGGTCCCATCTCCAAGATATCTCCTTATGAATGAATACCCACATACAGGGATTTCAAGATCCAAATGACTTCTCACCCCAAGCATTTGAGAAGAGCAATACTTGGATAGTAGCTACAAAAAGGAGAATTTCATGTTGCAAGCCAAGGTGATTTCCTAACTTCTGCCTCACGGGTGTTGCTTTGGAAATAAGTGTCTGTTTTCTTGGGGTTTTTTTTTTTTGTTAGGCTGGCATTTATCCGCAATATCACCTTTCTTGGTTCCTTTCCTTTGTAATGGGACTTTCCAAGGCTGCAGTGCCCTTAACTTCACAAATGTCATATTACGTCCCTCCTACTTTGCTTCCTCCAATCTGATGCTCCTTTCTGGAGGTTTTTGGTTGTAATCCACACTTTCCCTTCCATGGATGATGGCAGGACTATCTGACCTATTTAGAGGACAGAAGAAGGATTGGACAGCAAACAAACCATTTTAGAAATGTCAAATGCACAGAAAAACAATGTGGTGCCATTACTGAATAAATAATAAATCTGAGAAGAATGTCAGAAGAATTAAAGGGTAAATCAACCCATTGTTTCCCACTGCAAATCATTTGGAACAAAGTCAAAAGTTTGGCTTGATTTATTTGGGAAAAATACTTCTACGCCAGGTTGTTGTAAGTTTTTCGGACTGTACGCCCATGTTCCAGAAGCATTATCTCGTGCTTCTGGAATATGGCCATACAGCCCGAAAAACTTACAACAACCCAGTGATTCCGACCGTGAAATCCTTTGAGAATACTTCTATGCTATCCTTCCTTAACAGCATCCCACAGTGCTTATATGTCAAGCATATAAGTGAGTGCTAGAAATAATATTGTATGAAAGCTGACTGGCTTTTGCTTACTTAAGCGATTCCTCGTTGTCTGACTAGGATTGTCTTCCAAGATCAGTGTGCTGGCGGTGGGTCCATAGGTGACTGTGGAGCCCTATTCTTGATCTGCATCTTTTCCCGCAGTGAGGGCATTGGTTTCCAGGTGGAAGGCGGTCCCGGTCGGGGTTGGCTTGACGCACCTTCCTCTTGGCACGTTTCTCTCTTTCGCCCTCCATTCTTGCCTCTTCAGATTCTACAGCACTGCTGGTCACAGCTGACCTCCAGCTGGAGTGCTCAAGGGCCAGGGCTTCCCAGTTCTCTGTGTCTATTCCAGAGTTTTTAAGGTAGGCTTTGAGTCCACCTTTAAATCTCTTTTCCTGCCCACCAACATTCCATTTTCTATTCTTGAATTCGGAGTAGAGCAACTACTTTGGGAGACGGTGGTTGGACAACATCTGGACAACGTGGCTGGTCCAGTACAGTTGATGGCGGAGGACCATTGCTTCAATGCTGGTGGTCTTTGCTTCTTCCAGCACGCTGACATGTGTCTTCCCAAGAGATTTGCAGGATTTTCCAGAGACAGTGCTGATGGAATCATTCCAGGAGTTGCATGTGACATCTGTAGACAGTCCACATCTCGCAGGCATATAGCACGGTTGGGAGGACAATCTATATAAATAAAAATGTAATGTTCGTTTGTGGGATTAACATAACTCAAAAACCACTGAAGGAATTGACACCAAATTTAGACATAATACACCTATCAGGCCAACGAGTGACCATCACTCACAGAAACACCGAAAAACACAGCAGAAGAGACTTAAAAAGCTCAAAAATAAAAAAATACAACGCATGCTCAAAACCACACACACACATATATATACATACATATACATACATATATACACACACAAAACACATATACACAGACTGGGCTACAGCAACGTGTGGCAGGGTATCCCTATGGCTGTCCTGGTCCTCAAACACTCTCTGCTTCATTCGGAAAAAAGCTGCACTCGCAGAGCTCAGGCGGTGTTGTATTTCAGTGTCAATGTTGACTTTTGTGGAGAGGTGGCTGCCAAGGTAGCGGAAATGATCAACATTTTCTAATATTACACCATTAAACTGTATTTCTGGCGTTGGAGAGGGATTGGCTCGTGACTGCTGAAAGAGCACTTTGGTTGCTGACTGGCACAACCTGGGG